ACCCTGCCAGCATCTATTAGGGCAGGAGTTGTAAACCTTTTTTCTGCCAAGGGCCATTTGGATATTTATACAATCATCTGTGGGGCAAACAAAATTGCCAACCTAATAATTAGCCTGCTATAGACTTACTGGATTTGAAGCCCTGCTTCCAGTTGTTTTGGCAAGGCAGCACCAAATGGGCCTTCTATCAGACCCTTAGGTCAGATGTACCCCACCCCTAGGACGGTGCAAACACCTACTCCTCGCTTCAGGCTCAGCTCAAGGACCATACCATTCTGGAAGCCACCAGAGAGACCTCTTCCTAGGACTTCTCATCTCCCCTTTGTACTGTAACTATGTACTTATGTATCTACAGCGTGATAGCAAGTTCCATGACAATACAGGGTAAGTGCTCAAATGTAATTTATTCAATGCTTCTTTAACTCAAGTCCATCCATCACCAGATACAAAATGCATTGGTAGGCTTATTCTGTTTGTTTTTTTCCTTGCAAGTTAATACGACTAAGTCCAAGATATACACTGCTGGGATAATGAGAAGTGTTATGAAGTGATGACCTGTGTTTCTTTATTGATACTGTCTCTGTAGTTTTCTAGTTCACTTCTGATAGTTTATGAGTACTCCCTCATCATTTTAAGTGGGATAAAGCAAAAACCTTCTTACTTATTAAATCTCATTACTTTACAACTTAAGTTTAAGCTTCTAAATTTTAGCAAGTTAATACACCTCTCTCTTTGGAACTGCAATCCAATTTTCATGAGAGTGGTTCGTTTTTAGTTTCAAGAAGGTTTGTTCTTAAAAACACATCATATTTTATCATAAAATCTGAAGATAGGGGCCCAGAGCAGTGGCCTACTGGCTAAAGTTCTCACCTTGAACACGCCGGGATCCCACATGGGCGCCAGTCCTAATCCCAGCGGCCCCACTTCCCATCCAGCTTCCTGCTTGTGGCCTGGGACCGCAGTTGAGGACAGCCCAAAGCCTTGGGTTCTTGCACCCATGTGGGAGACCTGGAAGAGTTCCTGGCTCCTGGGATCAGATTGGCGCAGCTCCAGTTGTTGTGGTCACTTGGGGAGTGAGTCATCGGACGGAAGATCTTTCTGTCTCTCCTTCTCTCTATATGTCTGACTTTGTGATAAAAATAAGTAAAATCTTTAAAAAATCTGAAGATAATTTATTAATTGTCTCTGATTTAGCTTTGGGGATTTTAGATTGTTCATTTCACTTATATTTTTCTACAATTATTCTGTTTTTACATATGAGCATCAGTTCTAAGAGAGGTAGGCAAATACTGTCGGCACTATCATCCTTTTCTATTCTTACACTAAGAAGCTGTGTATCTCTTATAGTTAAAGAGGTACTTGGAGTGGGAGATTTTTAAAAAGTCAAAATTGCGCCAAATGTGCAAGTAAAGAACTGGAGTTTCCAAGAGAAGACTAATCTGACTATTAGATCATCTTACTGTATCAATCTGTTAAGAGATGAGTCTCTCAAATCTTAAAAAAAAAAAAGAGATGAGTTTGATAGTCATGAATGGACTCACCAATTGCTTTATAAAGCACATGCAATCATAATGAATTTCTCATTTTAAAAAGAACGTCACATCCATTATTATTTACTATCAAGAAAATTCTCAGCCAGTACCACACAACGAATCTAAAACCAAAGTAGTTCTAGACTATAATAATAATCAAGGCACTAATGGAGTTAACAGGTACTCCAGAATTCATTCATTCTTGACAAATCTTTATTGCTAACACAGAATACACAAAGAATTCCAACCACTAAAATGAAGCATTCACTATGACGGCCTACAAAAGCAAAATGGAGTTAACATTATTTAATAACTGGAAATTAGACCAAATAATTTGTCAAACTCAAAAATTAGGTAAAAGCCATCTTTTCATTAAAAACCAAATCTTTAAAATCTCTATTAAGAAACACCTGTGTTCATGCCCAATGTGACATCCCTCGATCCCAACAAAGTCTTTGCCATCATTAGGAAGACAATTCCTGTATATGCAAAACAGCAAAAATTTAAAACGTCTGTTTGTTTGAGAGGCAGTTACACACAGAAAAAGAGATTTTCCATCCATTGGTTCTTTCCCCTAAAACACCCCAATAACCAAGGGTGGGCCAGAGCTTCATCTGGGTCACCCATCTGCATGTAGAGGCCTAAGCACTTAAGCATCTTTCACTGCTTTCCCAGCCACATTACCAGAGAGCTGGATCAAAAGTGGGACAGCTGGGAAATGAAAAGGCACTTCCATTGCAGGTGGTGGCTTAACCTATATTATAACTCAGGCCCTCAAAAGAGCAAAATGTCAACTTCTTTCATCAAAGGAGACAGAATTCCTAAAGACTCCTTCCTAGGAAAACACTAGCTAAAACGAATAGTGTATATCAAGGTCCAGGGAAAGACAGGTCACTGTTCTACCGGATCTGACCTCATGAACCCACTGTCAAACTGGCCATCTAAATAAAAATGTATTCTTCCTCTCCTAGTTCATCAGCCTGTTTCTAAATTATATAAACCACACCAATCTAGAGAGCTACAAAAAGGTTACTCTCAGAAGACGCTTTATAAAGAATCACTCAGAATATTAATAATCATCCACTCATAAAAATTGAGAAGTCATTTTCTTAAAATTAACACAAACTGTCTTATTCATCATATAGAATATATATGGTTCCATGTAAGTCGATTTTTATCATGCAATCTTGTCTTGCAGAATCAAATTTTCACAAGTAAACTCCAACAAGAAGCAATTAAAAACATGCAAACCCTCCCTGGCTAAAGGGAGACATCTAGAGGCAAAAGCTTAACATTGAGGCCTTTTCTCAAACCCTTGGAATGGGATCTCGGAGTCAGGCATAAAGCAGCCTTTCGAAGTTTTTTCCACTTAGTAATTATTCTCTAACTATGTGGGTTTGTGACTTTGATTCACCAAATCAAATACTGCTTATTTTAAGCTATTACTTACCATCTAAAGTGACAATATTCCCGGAATCCTCAGAGTAGATCTCATTTATACTGACTTCAAATTTTCTCAATCGGTCCCGGTGCGGTGGCACAGTGGTTAAGGTCCTCACCTTGCACGCCCGGGATCCCATATGGGCGCCGGTTCTAATCCTGGCAGCTCCACTTCCCATCCAGCTCCCTGCTTGTGGCCCAGGAAGGCAGTCGAGGACGGCCCAAGGCTTTGGGACCCTGCACCCGCGTGGGAGACCCAGAAAAGCTCCTGGCTTCAGATCGGCATAGCATCGGCCGTTGTTGCGCTCACTTGGGGAGTGAATCATCAGACAGAAGATCTTCCTCTCTGTCTCTCCTCTCTGTATATCTGCCTTTCCAATAAAAATAAAATAAATCTTTAAAAAAAAATTTTCTCAATCAAGGCCTGTGCTGTGTCTTAGTGAATAAAGCTACCACTGGTGGTGCCAGGGTAGGGCACTGGTTTGAATCTCACTGCTCCACTTCCAATCTAGTTCTTTGCTTATGGCCTTGGGAAGTAGAATATAACCCCATACACAAGCCATGTACCAGCATGGGATAGGAAAGAAGTTCCTGGCTCCTGGCTTTGGACTGGTCCAATTGCAGCCATTGCAGCCATTTGGGGAATTGAGACAGTGGATGGTATCTTCCTCTTGTCCTCTGTAACTCTGCAATTCAAAAAAAAAAAAAAACTTAAAAATTTTCCCTCTGGGACCAGCGCAATAGCATAGCGGCTAAAGTCCTTGCCTTGTACGTCCGGGATCCCATATGGGTGCTGGTTCTAATCCCGGCAGCCCTGCTTCCCACCCAGCTTCCTGCTTGTGGCCTGGGAAAGCAGTCAAGAACGGCCCAAAGCTTTGGGACCCTGCACCCGTGTGGGAGACCTGGAAGAAGTTCCTGGCACCTGGCTTCAGATTGGAGCAGCTCCAGTCATTACGGCTGCTTAGGGAGTGAACCATTGGATGGAAGATCTTCCTCTCTGTCTCTCCTCCTCTCTGTATATCTGCCTTTCCAATAAATAAAAAAAAATTTCCCTCTTTCATTTGTAGGTTCTACTGACAGAGTAACACAAATGATGGATGTAACTATGGCTAAAATGTATCGTAAGTACAGACACAGGTAAGATTAGCTAGCTTTAGAGCAAGGACTCAAAACATAAAATGCTCTAAAACCCTCAAAAGACTAAGGCAGAGGAAGTAATACTTCTGTGAATGTAAATATTACCCCACTCATAAAACATTTACCCACCAATCCGATACAATCAGATAAAATCTCTAACCATCTTTCTGTAACTTCAACTAACTCAAATGCCATCAGGAACCCAACAAAATTGGCTCAACAACCAGCAGAGTGAAAAGCATCAAGAGAGGGGAGGAAGTGGAGGTGAACTAGAGAATGCATACCCAAACAAAAGGAATTCCATTTGTTTTTCCCTTTTAACCCTAAACCAGTCAAAACTACCTACCTGCTAATCAATCTCTATTTGTCACACTTCATCCACACACTGTCCCAATTTCCATCCTTAATGTCTGATAATGCTCATTTTAAAATTTAAAAAACATCAAACATGCATATAAAATTGTCTGGAGGAATATACCATCAAATGTTAATTAAAGCTATGTAGAGATGACTGGATTATATGTGTTCTCTTCTTTTTGGTATCATATTGACTTTCTAATATGAGAAAAAAATAACCTTTACTTTAAAAAAAAAACTTCAAAAGTCATGGTATATCCATGTCATACCCAACAAAGTTTTCCAAAATCTAAAACTGGAAATAACAGATAAGGACAAACAGCAAGTGAGTACTTGCAAGACATGTCAATCAAGGAGAAATATTTAAGTGACCACATGTCATCACTGTGCTATATTCAAATGTCAATCTATTTTTAAACAGGAAAAGATCACCAGTAATGAAACGCTACATTTGATGGAAAGAGCCAAGTTAATGAGATTAAAAGCTTAGGCAAATTAAGATATTTCCTACCTCCCCAAATTTCATAACCTTACCATAAAGATCAGGACCATGAGGAGTAAAGACATTATACAAAACAATGTTGAGTGGTGCAATCACCAACTTCCCGTAATAGTAGCTGTCAATGACCACAACAGGCACCTAGAAGAGAAAATGCAGCGGAGTTTTACTCTGGGAACATTCTCAAAATGCTAACAGGGCATGCCTGAGAATAGAAAACAAAACGAACTCCCACTTTTCCCTGGATCACATTAGAAGCTGCTTTAAGTACAACCTGAGAACAGGTAACTCACCAGAAAGAGGATAAGTGCCACCAACGTCCAATAAAAAAAATCCTTCCACCTGTGTTTCATGACCAGTAAGTCAAAGGCAATGGGTAGTCTATGAAAACAGAAAAAAAAAAAAAAACAAATTTAGGTAACTTAGGTCTGAGTCACACATACTTCATGCTGAACTGAGCAACAAATGCCTCTACAAGTTACAGGGAGAAGATAGGGCTGGGATGCACAAAGATGTCTTTGCAAAAATACACCTATCGAGCCCGGCACCGTGGCCTAGTGGCTGCTGAAGTCCTTGCCTTGAATGCACTGGGATCCCATATGGGCGCCAGTTCTAATCCCGGCATTTCCCCTTCCCATCCAGCTCCCTGCTTGGGGCCTGGAAAAGCAGTCGAAGACGGCCCAAAGCCTTGGGACCCTGCACCCGTGTGGGATACACGGAAGAAGTTCCTGGATCCTGGCTTCGGATTGGCCTAGCATCACTAGGGGAGTGAATCATCATCCTCCTCTCTATCTGACTTTCCAATAAATAAATAAATCTTAAAAAAAAAAAAAAATACACCTATCAGGGGGATATGTAGCTCCCAAAAGCACAGCAAATAGAAATAAGGTACTGCTGAAATGAACTCCATTCTGTACATACTTATGTGTAATGGACTTTAAAAAAGGATCAACTGTAAGGCAATATGTCCTATCCTCCTGTAACCAGCCTGCCAAACAAAGGGGTATTTGTTTCTCTCCCGCGCTTTATTGGACTGGCAGTAATAATATTAGCAACTTTGATTCTGATGTATCCCTTTTCAAAACTATTAGCTCTTCTTCCTTCTACTTAAATTAATCCTGAAAACGGCATGCATGGGCCTGGCGCGGTGGCGCAGTGGTTAAGGTCCTTGCCTTGCACGCCCGGGATCCCATATGGGCGCCGGTTCTAATCCTGGCAGCCCCGCTTCCCTTCCAGCTCCCTGCCTGTGGACGGCAGTTGAGGATAGCCCAAAGCTTTGGGACCCTGCACCCGCGTGGGAGACCCGGAAGAGGCTCCTGGCTTCGGATCGGCATAGCATCGGCCGTTGTTGCGCTCACTTGGGGAGTGAATCATCGGACAGAAGATCTTCCTCTCTGTCTCTCCTCTCTGTATATCTGCCTTTCCAATAAAAAAAATAATAAAAAATAAATCTTTAAAAAAAAAAAGAAAGAAAATGGCATGCATGTGTTGCCCTCATTTCAATTATTTGTCTTAAAGCCTTGTTATTAAGCCGAATAAAGTCTGCAGGAACCTCATCATGGTGGGATAAAAGCTCTTCATTGAACACACCGTTCTCATCACAGGCGCCATCTTTTTTTTTTTTTTCTGCTGCACTGGAAATAAAACATGTTTCTCTACCTTTATAATTCCTGGACTCCTTTTTTGGCCTTTTCTCTCAGCTTCTTTCTAGACTTTTTCCTCCCACCTTTTCACCATAGTCAAATTCTCCCAAAGTGACTAATTTTCTCAGCAGCTGCTTCCACTCAGACTGCACAAACAAGAACCTCCACATCCATAACCAGTACACTAGTCACAGCCTCTATGTCACAGCCACTAGTCACAGCCACTGTTCCAATCTCAAAGAATCCTCCCAACTACCACTCTTTACATAGGATCTACCTCAAAACCAACCACACGGGCCTGGCGCAGTGGCCCAGTGGGTAACGTCCTCGCCTTGCATGTGCAGGGATCCCATTTGGATACCAGTTCATATTTCAGCTGCTCTACTTCCCTTCCAGCTCCCTGCTTGTGGCCTGGTAGAGCAGTAGAGGATGACACAAAGCCTTGGGATCCTGCATTCACATGGGAGACCTCTTAGAGCCTCCTGGATCCTGGCTTCAGATCCGCTCAGCTCTGGCTATTGCAGCCACTTGCAGAGTGAACCAGTGGATGGAAGATCTTCTCTGTAAATCTGACTTTCCAGTAAAAATAATAAACCTTTTTTTAAAAAATCTTTGCAGACCTAATTTCTCTGAGCATATATCGCACTCTCATTCCTATATCATTGGTAATCTCTTCATTAATTCAAACTTTCTCATTCTAATGTGTACATTTTGTCTTAACATTTTCATTTTTCTATATAATCAAATAGTTATATTTCCAAAGCCTCTGTATTCCTCCTGTGACAAGAAATCAAAAACTTTTAATTTACCTATCAGCATCTATCTTTCCTATTATAAGGTGAGCTCCAAATTAGTAGGACACAGGGCTGTATAATTTTAAAACACAGCAGCAGTCCCTAGCACAAAGTATTTAATAAATGATGGTGGACTGACAACTGACTAAGTGACTGAGACCCTGAAAACACTTTTCTTGCCTAAACACAGACCAAGCAAAATGTGCCTTCTGGGGAACTTGGAGAACTCAACAAAGCTTAGTGTAGGTGGCATAAAGATTGAAAGCAGTGGAGGAACGGAAAAAAGGCAAGAGAGGCAAAGTAGGGAAGAGCCTGCAGGGTTGAGTCACCTTAGGGCTTGGGCATCACAGAGCAAGAGCTGGCAAACATCTTTCCCTTAAGAGTATTTATATTCAGCTTTGTTTCTATGTAGTTTTTGTTGCATATTCTTACGTGGTTTTTTAACCTCCTCTATAAATGTAAAAACTGCTTTTTAATTTTATTTTTATTGGAAAGTCAGATACACAGAGAGAGGAAGAGAGACAGAGAGTAATATCTTCTATTTGGTGATTCACTCCCCAAGTGACCACAATTGCCGGAGCTGTGCCAGTCCGAATCCAGGAGCCAAAAGCCTCTTCCTGGTCTCCCACACAGGTACAGGAACCCATGTCTTTGGGGCGTCCTCGACTGCTTTCCCAGGTCACAAGCAGGGAGCTGGATGGGAAGTGGGGCCGCTGGGATTAGGACTGGCACCCATATGGGATCCCAGTGCATTCAAGGCAAGAACTTTTAGCCACGAGGCCACAGCACCGGGCCCACTACTGTTTTTTGAGGGGATGGGGGGAGGGCTGCACAAAAACAGCTCAGATGGATACGGTCCATGAGCCATGATTTCCTAAATTTATTACACAAAACAATGCAGAAGATACTACAGAGTTTGAAACAAAGGAATGATAGAATCCCACTGGCATATTAGGAAGATAAACTTGAGTGAGGAGAATAGATCTACAGGGATCAATAATAGACGGGAGATCATCTAGTAGGCTCGGTAGTAATCCAAGACAAGGAGGGGTGAAGAAAAGTATTCAGATTAAAAAGAATCTGAGAGGCCCTGCATGGTAGCTTAGCAGCTAAGGCCCTTGCCTTGCACATGCCGGGACTGCATATGGGCGCCGGTCCTACTCCCTTGAGACCCAGCACAGCAGGAATGCCTGTTGTATGTTTGGAAGTGGAACTATGATGCTTTTAGAGAACCATCAACAGGCAGAGGCAAAAGCCAAAGCCAAAGACACGTGGGTGATTTTGGAAACATTCAGAGACTTGGACTTGTTATCAAAACAAACCCACCAATATGACAGTTGCTACTGCAAGAGGAATAAGAGAAAAATGATACATATCCAGTGGCTGTTGTTTAACTTCATGGCATTTAAATGTGTTTAAAAAAAAATACAGCCATTTAATAAGCCTGGTGGAACCTTTATCAAGAAGCCCAAGCTAGGGCCCGGCGGCGTGGCCTAGCATCTAAAGTCCTCGCCTTGAACACACCGGGATCCCAAATGGGCGCTGGTTCTAATCCCGGCAGCTCCACTTCCCGTCCAGCTCCCTGCTTGTGACGTGGGAAAGCAGTCGAGGATGGTCCAAAGCTTTGGGACCCTGCACCTGTGTGGGATACTCGGAAGAAGTTCCTGGCTCCTGGCTTCAGATCGGCATAGCATCAGCCATTATGCTCACTTGGGGAGTGAATCATCGGATGGAAGATCTTCCTCTGTCTCTCCTCTCTATATCTGACTTTCCAATAAATAAATAAATTAAAAAAAAAATAGAAGCCCAAGCTAGCAAAACCAATGGAAAAGGTCAATCTCAGCAAATCGCCTACACAAACTGATTCTGACGATGAAGAGGAAGAAAAACAATGAACTGAGGCTAGGCGAGAAAAGCAAAGGTGCCAAAGAGGAAAAAAAAAAGAGAAGTATGTGGACAGGTGCAGAATGGCATTAACACATCCATTTTGTAAATTTTTAATATTTGAAGAAAAAGACAATGAACTACATCTGCAAAGTTCTTCACATCAGGAGACATTATTAGGTCATATTCAGAAATAAACCAATTTTGATAAAGTAGTTACGGAGTTTATGCATGAATATATGGTAAATAAATTTTTAAAAATCTATTCATAAGCAGCAGGCAAGTAGCCAACCAGAAATAATCAAAATAATTGAAAAAGATATTATGGAAGTTGTCACTGCAGATGACCACATGATAAAACTGGAGGCCATTCAATGTTTGCATTGTGTATGTTCCTGCATTGCATACATAGTTCAGTCCAACAGCATTTAAAATCTCCTGGTCATAGCAAAGGGAAACAGGCTTACAAAGAACAAATAAAATGAGAGTCTTAACTGCTACAAGCATTTCAAACAATCCGATAGTAAAGGTATGCTATGAATGTTTTTGTTAAGGATGACAATCTTTTTGAAATTCAAGACCATTCTCGAGATCAGCAAGGAGATGATGAAGAAAAGATGGATGAACCTGTGGAAGAGGAGGATGAAGAAGATGAAGAGGAAGAGGAGGAGGAAATGGAGGAAGCTGAGGAAGCAGAAACTGCAGAGGATGTGGGAAAAGATGAAACAATAGAGTGAGAGAAGGATGCTGAGGGAGTGGAAGTTGGGGCAGTGAGGACAGAGGGAGGAGTGGAAGGAGGGGGGAGAAGCAGAGGAAGAGCCTGCTGACTTCCCTACTGAGCAGCCTGAAGAAAATTAACTGTAAAGCATTAAATTTAAAAAGAACTTTCAGTGCTAATGTAGAAAAGGGTAAGAATAGCTTAAAACAAGTTAATATTCATGTTGCAACCATTCTACACACTAAAATTTGTTTTAGATAATTTCTAAATGTTTGACATTTAATAAAATGAAGACTATTTTAGTTTAGTTTTTATAGCTACCAAACAGATCTGATAAAAAAAAAAAGAAAAAAAATTACAGTTTAAGATTCATTTATTTTTCTTGGAAAGCCAGATATACAGAAAGGAGGAGAGAAAGAGGAAGATCTTCCATCTGATGATTCATTCCCCAAGTGAGTGCAACAGCTGGTGCTATGCCAATCTGAAGCCAGGAGCCAGGAACTTCTTCCAGGTCTCCCATGTGGGTGCAGAGTCCCAAGGCTTTGGGCTGTCTTCGACTACTTTCCCAGGCCACAAGCAGGGAGCTGGATGGAAAGTGGAGCTGCCGGGATTAGAACCGGCACCCATATGGGATCCCGGTGTGTTCAAGGCGATGACTTTAGCGGCTAGGCCACGCCACCATGCCCAAACTGTGTAATTTTTAAGCTTAATTTTTACTACTTTATTGATGTAAAGGATGACAGATATGTATGTATTGTTAGTATATCTATTCTAATCATTTAGACTTGAATACTGGTATTTGGAGTGAATATTCAAGTGTGCACCAGTTTTTTGAATACTTACCCTAGAAGAGAGAAATTGGGCAAGTATTTTGTGTTTTGATTGTGTATTTTACTGCATTGGACATCAAATAGTAATTTGCACTGAGATATGCTTAAAGGCCTTTGGTGACCATGTTTCCCTTTGTAGCAACAAAATGTTTATGAAAATTTTCTCTCTGCATTAGCAATTTAAATGAAACAGTTGATCAATTAAATGAGTATTAACAAATCAAGATTTGCCTTACTGTATGAATGTACTCAAAAGTAAACAATGAAAGACTTGAAAAATTTTCTTGATCATATTTTTTTTAAAACTGCAGCTAATTTTTTTTTTAAGCATTTCAAATGGAGGTCAGTCTGTAAACTGACTTTGTTTATACTTGTTTTCATTTGTTCCTTTTTTCTGTACCTGTGCCAAACCTTAAAATCTTCCTGAAAACACACTGGAATACCAAAAAAAAAAGACACTGAGGAGGATCCAGCATGGCGGGGTTGCCTAGCGTTTAAAGTCCTCGCCTTGAACATGCCAGGATCCCATATGGGTGCCAGTCCTAATCCTGGCAGTTCCACTTTCCATCCAGCTCCCTGCTTGTGGCCTGGGAAAGCAGCTGAGGATGGCCCAAAGCCTTGGGACCCTGCACCAAAGGGAGACCCAGAAGAGCTCCTGGTTCCTGGCTTTGGATTGGCGCAGCTCTGGCCATTGTGGTCACTTGGGAAGCAAACCATCAGACAGAAAATCTTCCTGTCTCTCTTCTTCTCTCTCTCTATATATATATATCTGTCTTTCCAATAAAAATAAATCTTTTAAAAAAACCAGTGAGGAGACACAATAAATTAATAGGATATATGAAAGAGCAGAGTCGCATAATGTTCAGGTTCCTGGCTCACTACTGAGTAGCTGGTTGTGCCTTTCCCTGTGGCAGAACAGATAAAGGAAAAGGTATGGAGGAATGTAATGAGCTCAGGAAGCACCTACCAAGCAACTATGAATATGGATGAAATTAACAAAGACAATCAGGACTAGACATAAAAAAATGGGAATGATCACAATGGCTGAAAATAAAATCTTGAGGAATGGGCCCAGCGTGAAGCCTCAGTAGCTAAATTCTCACTTTGCAAATGCCAGGATCCCATATGGCCACTGGTTCACATCCTGGCTGCTTCACTTCCCACCCAACTCCCTTCTTGTGGCCAGGGAAAGCAGTAAAGAATGGGCCAAAGCCTTGGGATCATACACCTGTTTAGGAGACCCAGAAGAAGCTCCTTGGCTCCTGGCTTTGGACCAGCTCAGCTCCAGCTGTTGCAGTCACCTGGGGAGTGAACTAGTAGATGAAAGATCTTTGTCTATCCTTTTCTCTGTAAATCTTTCTTTCCGGTAAAAATAGATAAATCTTTTTAAAAAAATCTTGAGCAATGTTTCCTGAGGAATGTCATAATTTGAGAAAACATGCAGCAAAAAAGACTGAAAGTATGGATACTAGACTTTAAAAAGCAGTTTAGATTTTAAAAGTCTTTTCTTTGGTTTAGTAGCCTCCCTTCTAAATATTTACTCAAGTTAAATTTCAGAAGTATACAAAGATACGCATATATAAATATAAATGTAAACTGAAGCACAGGTACAATAACCAAAAAAAAAAAAAAAAAAAAAAAAAGCCACCATAAACCAAATATATCCCAATAGGGCAATGCTTAAGTAAATTATGGACAGCCATGGGGTCAGCATAGTGTTATAGTAGGATAAGCCTCTACCAGTGACACCAACATTCCACATGGGTGCCAGTTTGAGTCTCAGCGGCTCCAGTTCTGATTCAGCTCTCTGTTAATGTGCCTGGGAAAGCAGCACAGAACAAGTCTTTAAGCCCCTGCACTCATGTGCAACCTAGAAGATGATCCTGGAATTGCACCAGTCCAGTTCTGGTTGCTGCAGCCATTTCAGGGAATGAATTACTAGATGGTAGATCTGTCCTCCTCCTCTAATTCTGCTTTTCAAACAAAATCAGATCTTAAAAGTATGGACAGCCACATAATGGAACACTCTGAAGCCAATATAAAGGACAACATAAGCCCATATGTAGAAGACGACATGTACAGGATGACCGTTTCTAAAATGTGGTTACAAACACATGTGTATACTCAGAGGCATTTATATATAAAATAATGGCTTCTGGAAGATTGGGCTGGAGAGAAGAGAATTAGGAATTATTTGTCGCATGAAATCTCACTTTTTTGATTTAATAAGATACAATAGGGGGAATCCCCAGTGCCTATAAAACTGTATCACATAATACAATGTTAATAACGATAAATAAATAAAAAAAATAAAACCTAGTAAAAAAAAAAAAGATACAATACCTTTAAAATAACCTAATATCGGGCCTGGCACAGCGCTGCATGTGCTGAATCCCATATGGGCACCGGTTCTAATCCTGATGGCCCCACTTCCCACCCAGCTGCCTGCCTGCAATCTGGGAAAGCAGTTGAGGATGGCCCAAGGCCGTGGAATCCTGCACCCATGTGGGAAACCCAGAAGCAGCTCCGGGCTCCTGGCTTCAGATCAGAGCAGCTCTGACTGTAGCAGATACTTGGGGAAATGAACCAATGGATGGAAGATCTTCTTCTGTCTCTCCTTCTCTCTGTATATATCTGACTTTCCAATAAAAAATTTTTCATTAGAGATTTATTTAAAACTAACATAAACCTAACGTGGCTTTTTGTTTTTTGCTTCTTGGTAATTACCATTAGTATGGGCAAGAAGATACAGCAGCACAAAACAAACTAGCAAAGTGATAGGAACAGATAGGAAAAGAATTAAGAGGGACTGGCACAATGGCCTACTAGGCTAAGCCTCCATCTGTGATGTGAGCATCCCATATCAATACAGGGTTGAGTCCTGGCTACTCCACTTCAGATCCAGCTCCTTGCTACTAGTCTGGGAGAGCAGCGAAGGTTGGCCCAAGTGCTTGGGCCCCTATACCTACGTGGCAGACCCAAAAGAAGCTCCTAGCTCCCAACTCCAACCAACGCAGACATTTGGGGAGTGAACCAAAGGGCAGATCTCTTTGCCTCTCCGCTCTTCTTTACCTCTGCCTTTCATATAAAAATAAATCTTAAAAATAGAGAGACTCAGGTAAAAAAAGACATTGGAGCAGGAGAGGATGGGTAAAGGAAATGGATTTCAAGCTTTGGTAATAAGAAAAATGTGCAGCATAGGTGGGGCAGTGTAGAAAAAATACCAGTTCTAGTGTCATTAAGACCCCGATTCAAATCCTAGCACAATCTCAGTGGTATCTTAGCCACTTTAGGCATCTATTTTCTTACTTATTAAGGCATTAAAATTTTTATGTCTCTTGCAGTGTCAAATTTTAAGGATTAGATTCACAAAGAGTTTGGCAGATGTTACTAGTCACTTCTATTAGCATTAATAATGATAAAACAGTATGAGAAATATTATTTCACTTCCCAGAATCTCTGTAGTCCAGCTGGTTCCTATAACTTTAGAAGCTACCCAGAACAAATCGAGCCAATTCAATACAAAGATTCACTATGAGACCAGAAGTGATAAATGGTATGTGAGATAGGAACTGTGTTAGGGTCTTACCCAAGAGCTGCACTGAATGGCCAGCCCAAGATAGCCCCAGCTGCTATTCCCAGTACAGCAATGGAAGTCTTGTCCATGTACCATCCAGTCATGGCTATCAACGTGGTATACATACAGAAGCTACTCGGAAGAAATGCTGCAAGAGTAAAGAAATGGACAAAAGGATGGATGGGGATAAGAGTCTGAGATTTATTAGGTTATCAATTACTAAAACTACACCTCTATTTCAAAATGTCAAAAACCAGAAACATATTTTAGACAATGTTTTATTACAGCAGTAAAACAATACTCTATTTAAAAAATGAAAGTGGGCATTTGCAGTAGTTTCCACTCAGGATGTTTGTAACACTTAAAACTGCCTGATTCAAGTCTCAGCTGCTCTGCTTCTAACTCAGCTTCCTGCTGATGGCTGAAATACTTGGGTCCCTGCCCAAAAAAGACCTGAATTAAAGGTCCAGTCTCCTGGCTTCAGCCCATCCTAGCTTTGGCTGTTGCAGGCATTTCGGGAGTGAACCAGCTTACAGATGATCTTTCTCTATCTGCCTTACAAATAAAATGAAAGACAGAAAGTTCTAAAACACATGAAGTTCAATGATTTCCTTATTTTCTTACTTTTCTGTGTTGTAGGTACCAACAATAAGCATGCCCTCACTCCACTGGCCTACACCTTAAACCCAAAACTTACAAAACTTGAGGTTCCTCACAGCCTATTTCCAGGAAAGAAATATGTTTCAAAAGACTAATAGCCATCACCAGTAATCTATTTCAGAGGAACTTATCTGCTGGTGGTCTTTTGTGACTCTCCTGGCCCTAATCCACACAGCTCAGGAACTCTAGCCTTTTTCAATGGCAAAATAACAGATACAGTGATGTGGATCCAGCACAATGGGTCAATGGCTAAATCCTCACCGTGGAAGTGCTAGGATCCCATATGGGTACTGCTTTGTGTCCCAGCTGCTCCACTTGCCATCCAGCTTCTTGCTTATGGCCTGGGAAAGCAATAAAGGTGGCCTAAAGCATTGGAACCCAGACCTGCACAGGAGACCTGGAAGAAGCTCCTAGCTTCTGGCTTCTGGCTTCGGATCAACTCAGCTCTAGTCACTGCAGCCATTTGGGGAGTGAGCAAGTAAATGGAATACCTTTCTCTGTCTCTCCTTTTCTCCATAATCTGCCTTTCTAGTAAAGATAAATAAATCTTTAGATACAGTGCTGCTTTACATCCTGTACCCCAGACACGGACAGCATGTCCTTCAGATAGCCCCCAATCATTCCCACGTACTCTCACCCCATTGTGCACAGCAGGTTCAAGGTCTCCAGAACAGCCACTGTTGATCCTGTTGCCCAAAGTGTTACTAACATTTCTGCACAATTTTGCAGATGTGTCTCTCACGTTCCAGAAGGACTGTGATTGGACCTTGGCAAAAGGTCCACAGGTTTTACATCAAAGGATGCCTTCCACTGATTTGTGTCTTAACATCTTCAGGGGAAATTACAAAACTGAAGACACCCCAGGATTCTCCCATACATAAATGCCAATTTCAGAAGTAACAAAGTAATTAAAAAGAAAAATGGGAAACACAGCCTTCCTAGAGCTATCCATATCTGTCAATTATAGCTGTCAATGTGCAAACAAAATCTGAGGCCTCTGTCGCTCAGAGGGCAAAGAACAATTACACTGACAACAATGGGTTCTCAAAGTTCTGCTAGGGTGAATCCGCAAGGACTCTGCAGAACATTAATTTTAATATATTCAATGAAGGAAGTGTAAATACACTATTTGTGCTGCATATTATTTTTCATGTATATTTAGCACGCATATTAGATTCTGGTACACACAAACAGAAACTAAAAATGAAGTAATTATATCTAGTAATTTAATTTTTCTGGAGAGCAGGGAACAGACTATCTTTTGGCAGCTCGGCTTAGCTCATAAAACACAAATGTTCAATGGGAGCACAGCCTGAAAGCCATCACTGCAGGGCAAGTGTCTTTTGCTAAAATTTCTAGAACCTTTCTTTAAAAAAAACCTCTATAAAAAAATACCAAATTATGGACAAAAAATACAATAATCAAGAATTGGATGTATCACACAAAGAGTTGTCTTAAAATACAATTACTTTGTTTCCCCCAATAGGAAAAAAAGAAAAAAAAGTGGGTGGCTGATATGAAAAGCGCCCTAGAGGGGCAATCAGCTCTACCAATTGAGAATTTTCAGTTTCAGTAAGGCACTTCACCTAAGTTTCAGTTCTCTCACCTGTGAAACTGATATAAATTTTTATCTTACACCATAATGGTCATCATGAACATGCTGAGAGGGACTGGTACATCAGCACATTGGGTTAAGCCGCTGCTGCCACGCTGGCGTCCCATATGAGTGTTGGTTGTAGTACTAGATGCTCCTCTTCCAAACCAGCTCCCTGTCAATGTGCCTGGGAAGGCAGCAGAGACGGCCCAAGTGCTTGGGCCCCTGCTACCCACAATACAGACATGGATGGAGCTCCAGGCCTGGACTAGTCTGGACCTTTACAGCCACTTGGGAGTGAGTCAGTGGAAGGGTCCTCTTTGAAACAGAATAAATAATTTTAAATAAAAACAAATGAATGTATATAATAGCATACTGCAAAATCATGACATTATGCAAACATAACCTCAAAATGAACAAGTGTTTCCTCTCACTGCCACTGTGAGCTATCAATGAACCTGACAGCCTCTTGCCCGCCCTTTTACTTACCTGATGACGAACAGAACATGCCAGTGCTGAGAACCAGGAAGGCAAGCATCACCCGACTCACGTGCAGCCCAAATTTCTTGCATACAGCCCTAGGAAAAAGGCAAAGATGACTAGCACAGCAAATAGGAAGAGCAGACATGTTACATCAGGGGAGAAAAACAGGCAGCCCTGTATCACGGTGAATACTGAAGTCAGACACAGCTGTCCTGACAGGCTAGCAACTATCTGTACCTAAAGACTCTCAAGCCCAATCCCTTCTTCCCGACATGGGGAAGCAGCTCTACCAGAAAGGAAGTGTGTACACACCAACATGATGTCTACCATCGACAAGAAAACAGCATGACACAGGGAAAAACAGCAGGCCTTCCACAGGCACAGCTCCAATGCTGGCTCTGCCATTTGCTGGCAGTGGAAACCCTGAGTCACACCATCACTCTCTGCCAGACATCTCAGCTGTAAATTCCTACTATGTATGGTATCAATAAGGACAATACACAGAAAACGAAAAAGTATTCGCGGGAGTGGTACATAGTTTTTTTTTTCCCCAACTATCGTTGTTAAAGACTAAGACTCACAGAAGTGTTTACAGGTGATTATTTCAAGCAGTTTCTCAAATCAGCAATTATACACCTGCTTCTACTTCTTATAGGTTCTTAAAATCCATAAACTAAATATTTTTAGGCATGTTTATGCTTCATTAAGTCAATATTTCACTAGGTATCTTTGTGTTAACCATTTCCTTGCCCACAGTCATTATTCATCTCAGAATACATCTGAAATAATGTTGCTTCTTCCTAAGCATAGCTTTTAGAAGTTCCTTCAATGAATATCTGTATGGTAAATTCTGTTTTCTTCATTGGCTAGCTTTTTTTTTTTTTTCCCTAAAAAAGTATTTAGTGCTTGGTCTTTTTTTTGTTTTAAAGATTTATTTTTATTATTTTTTCATTGGAAAGGCAGATATACAGAGAGGAGAGACAGAGAGGAAGATCTTCCGTCTGATGATTCACTCCCCAAGTGAGCGCAACAACGGCCAATGCTATGCCGATCCGAAGCCAAGAGCCTCTTCCAGGTCTCCCACGCGGGTGCAGGGTCCCAAAGCTTTGGGCCGTCCTCGACTGCTTTCCCAGGCCACAGGCAGGGAGCTGGAAGGGAAGCGGGGCTGCTGGGATTAAAACCAGCGCCCATATGGGATCTCGGGCGTGCAAGGCGAGAACCTTAACCACTTGCGCCACAGCGCCGGGCCCAGTGCTTGGTCTTAAAAGATGGTTTAACAGAATATACGAGCAGGATGGCAAACACCTTTTCTCATCACTTTGAAGACTTTTTTCTATCTTCTGGCTCTTAAAAAGTATTCTGTCAATCTAATCCCTAACATGCCTTGGTAAGTATTTTAAAAATTAAGCTCCAACAGAAAAAGAAATAAATCTCAGGATCAAAAATAAGGTTCTACTAATGTCTACTGAGTAAACATCAGTTACATATGAATTAGCAAAAATAAAATAACATGAAGAGGGCCCAGCGCAATAGCGTAGTGGTTAAAGTCCTCACCTTGAACGCACCAGGATCCCTTATGGGTGCCGGCTCTAAGCCCAGCCCCGCTTCCCATCCAGCTCCCTGCTGGTGGCCTGGGAAAGCAACCAAGGATGGCCCAAGGCCTTGGGACTGTGCACCCGCGTGGGAGACCTGGAAGAGCTCCTGGTTCCTGGCTTTCAGACTGACTCAACTCCAGCCATTGTGGTCACTTGGGGAGTGAACCATCGGACGGAAGATCTTCCTGTCTCTCCACCTCTCTGTGTATCTGACTTTCCAATAAAAATAAATAAATCCTTAAAAAAACAACACGAAGATATGACATTTATGAACCTCATGAAAAATACTCTTCAACTGTTTACTTCAAACAAGGTTACAGTCAGATAAAATACTGGAAGCTAGAAACAAATTATTTTCTATTGCTCATCATGGCCTGGACTACCATGCAGATGTTCACCCTATCCTGGGCTTCCCATAGCATTTACAGAAGCAAAACTGTGATACTCACTTGTAAAAGTAAAGCTCACAAACACAGCTCACAAAAGCCAGCAGGCATCGCAAAAAATAAAAGACCAGAATCTGAAAGAAACCAGGACAAGAAGATAGAAGTCAGAGATAATAAGTTGGAAACGACTAAAAATAAAACCACCCTCATTTCATATCAATAACAGTATACACTGGTATAACTCTTAATCTGTATCAACAATCATATAAATTTTTCATATTTCTAGATGCAGTGGACCCATACGAATCACTTCAGGAGGCATGGTGGAGGGAGGAGTAGCTCAATTCATGACAACATTAATTGCAGCACTATTAATTTAGAAACAACCATTTTAGATACTACAAAATGTAATTATGTGGAAACAGTTCAATGCATTTATCCATTCTGCTTCATAATTATACTCTAATTCATGGAGGTGAAGGCTGCATGTGTGCTGCCTTGGACACCTTCCTGTGGAAGACACTAACACACATGAGGAAGCCCAATAAAAGTAGGACATACAGTAACAAGCTGACCAGTGACAAAGAATAAAAACAGCGAAAGTAGACCCACAAGCACAGGAATGAGGTACAAGATAGGGGAGGTGCAAATAAGAAACAGGATGGCCCATGTAGCAAATGCTGCTAGAAAATGCCATTCATCACACAGCAAAAACTAATTTTCCTACAATTTATAGAAATTAACTTCAAATGTTTAAAGCTTTGTATGTAAGAAAGTGAAATCCCAAAGCTTGTGAGGGAGAAAGATGCACAAAAATTGACTGGCATCAAATCAAAGATTTCTAAGTATCAAAATGTAAGCATGACTTCGGAAGTATCAAAATCAAAGATTTCAGCTCAACAAAGGACCACAAAGTTAACAGAGAGGTGGCCAGTTACAAGAAGGAACTTATAATCTTAAAAAATGGAGAAGGGATCACTAATGAGAACTACAAATCTACAGAAAACATACACACAAGGAACCCAACAGGGCACAAACAGGTGAGTCACAGAAAAGAGAAACAGGAATGACAAATATATAAAGGAATGCACCACCTTACTAGTAGCCAGCAATCTAATTAAAACAAGCAGCAGCTCACACACATGAGAAAGTCAAAGTACCCAGTATTCAGGAGGTGTCAAAAAGTTAGCAGGAGCTCAAGTTTGGACAGCCACCTGGAAAGCCAGCTAGCAGGACTGAGACTCAGGAAGCCTATCGAGCTACACGTGGGGTCCCACTACAGTGGGAAACCCACACAGAGCTGTGAGCAGATTATGACACAAAGGCGCTTCTCATTTACTGTAGCAGTAAGCTGGAAAAGCAGTCAGTCACCCTTGCAAGTATCGACACCATCTTGGAACCACAGCCTCCCCTTCCCAACTCAGCATTACGGTGCTGGGATGCTACAAGCTACCATTCCCCTTGGCCAGGAGGCTCCCTGCCACCCAGTTACAGAACTTACACTGGAAGAAAGACAAGGAGGAAGACCTTCCTTCCTATTTCGCTTACTGTGAGCATCAGTGATGTAAGAGGAAGAATCATGTGAACTGAGGGGGAGTATCCAAATAGAAATGAAAACTGTAAGCACTGAGTACTGTACCTCGGTTCTTCAGAGTCCTCCACCTTGTATTAACTCGCCTCTCACAAGCTCAAAACACCTGAGGTGAGATCCCAGGCAGGGGAGGGAAGGACAGTGAGCCACAGGTGCTTTCTCTCTGCTCGTTCTGGGCCACAGATGCGGTCATAGCTCTCCTGTCTAAACCTTTCGTTTCCTACCACACTTGGAGGATAAAAACTAGTCTAATTCCGTAACAGCTCTGACAAGGCCCTGTAAAACTACGGCCGCCAAGTCTCAATCCAGTCCACTGCTCCTGCTCTCTTCCGAAACTCATGCTGGCCACCTTCCCAGCTCAGGGCCTTGGGTTGGCATGTTGTTTCTAAGCAAATCTGAGCAGACCCTGGAAGGTGTAGAACAGACTAGCTATACACTTCACACCACAATGGTAAAAATCCCAGAGATTTTCTTTTTGCCTTACATATTCCAGACATGAAAGAAGCTAGCCCTGGAACAGACAGAAACACCCCAAATTCTCTCTAGTCTAAGGCCCAGAAAACTTTTAGACAACAACTAAGCTACTCTAGCCAGATAACCTAAGGAGGGGGGTGGGAAGAGCCCCCATTAGACATCAAGCAAGAAGCAAAGGTTTCACTCTGCTGGTACCCATGAGCCCTCTCACTCAACAAAGCAACCCCTTGGGGAATCCAGACCTGCACTCCTCACTCAATCTTCCAGTACTCAGGGGCCCCTAACCTGCCTAACATCAACAGAGGCCTATTAAGGAGCGAGAACGCTCTCCTCAGCCAACAACAAAAAAACAATCCTTCTCCTAAGTGTCCACGGAGGCCTAGATGGAACTGGGACTTCTACTTAAATTAGACCCTCTTCATAGGCTTTCCCTACCAAACAGGATACATGAAGGCAGGGAGCTGGCTAGGTTTTTTTATTCGATTTTTGTTTGTTTTTTGGTTTTGGCTTTTTACAGCCATAGCATTTAACATTCCTATATAAAACCTGCCTCCAGTCAGGTGCGATAGCCTAGCAGCTAAAATCCTTGCCTTGAACGCGGCAGGATCCCATATGGGCACTGATTCTAATTCTGGTGGCCCTGCTTCCCATCCAGCTCCCTGCTTGTGGACTGGGAAAGCAGTGGAGGACGGCCCAAAACCTTGGAACCCTGCACCCGCATGGGAGACCTGAAGAAGCTCCTGGCTTCGGATTGACACATCCTCAGCCATTGCTGCCACTTGTGCAGTGAACCACCAGACGGAAGATCTTCCTCTCTGTCTCCCCTCCTCTCTGCATATCTGCCTTTCCAATAAAAAATAAATAAAATCTTTTAAAACTTTACCTGAAAATAATAAAAACCTGCCTCACTGATATTTATTGATTTATGAATGACTATAACTGACACTTCTTCCAAAAAAAAAAGCCCCCTCTCCACCACTAATTTGTTCTTTTCTCAAAACTTACACTCACCCCTTGACCAGCTGTGACAGCTTCCTGAGTGACCAGCCCTTACCTTATTAGTCTGTAGAATTCTTGCATGAAATGCAGCTGGCCAGGCATGAAGCAGCAAATAAGCATAGGAGCGAATGGCATACACCGGGGAATATTCCCAAGTCTGAAATCCCTTCCCATAGATGAGGTAGTGTGTCTGCAAATTCAAAACACGTGGATTCAGGGTGATACCATTCAAAAGCGCCCATTGAGAAGACACAGGTAAAGTTTCTGAGACAAAATGTTCAAAGAGAAAGGCATGTAAAACTGCTGAAATTAGCAAGAGCTGCAGCTATCAGAGAAGAATCCAAATGACACAACATTTTAAAACCCCAAGACAGATTCTACAAGGTTCTACACAATTGCTGTTTGGTCAACACCAAAAGCTTAACTTTTACCTTCTGCTTATCATTTTTTAAAGTATTCTTAAGCCAAAACATTGCTTAAAACTTCTATTTACATCAAGCATTCTTTATTTTTAACATAAAATATCAGAAAATGTTAACTATAAATTATTCCCGTTAAAGGAAGTCAGCAGGTGTTTAATACATAAGTGCATTCAACAACAAACTGTAATGAAAGTGTACTACTTAGGAACAATTTGTTTTGTAAACCTCAGATGAAATAACCGAGAAGATGGGGGGAAAATAGTTGCCTCGAGGGAGTAGGATTTGCACAGACATGGAAAGGAGAGCTACCATTTTTTAAGTTTTGCAGCAGTTGTGGACTGCAAAAATTCTCTCCAGGTATAACTTTAATGAAAAGCAGTCATTTTAATAAATTAAACCTTAAAGCAAATCCAGTATATTCCCCTACATCTTTAGGCAGTGGGTGAATTAGCTAAGAATACAAAATTGAAAGCAGTCACTTTACCAGCAGTCATACTCATTTACTGTGAATTTTGATTGGTACTAAGTCCCTAGCAGGAAAAATAAGAAAACTAAAGAAATCACCTACGGGTTCCCAGTAGTTGAAGGTTTCATCGCAGTCAGAAATGTTGCTCAGAAGAGCAGCGCACAGCCGGGCAGACAGCAGACACTTGAAAGCCGTAGATCCCTCGGGGGCCCAGACTTGGCCTGCCTTGCTTCCAGATGACCTGCTCAGAAGCAAAGATACAAGTCAGGAAGAACCTGCTAGCCTCGACGACTGACCCCAGACACAGAGCGAGGCTCATTTTCACCCCTCTGCCGGTCCGGCTTCTCGGGCACTTCCCATCGTCACAGCTGACCCGACTTCTCCTCCAGCCAGCCACTCGCTCACGTGAAGGCCCTAAAGCTCGTTCTCCTTTTAACAAGGCCAGCAGTTCCCCCTGGCTTTATTCAAACTTGCCTCCATATGTTCCAATGAACATTGGCCCAATACGTCCAAGGCACCTAACCTCCCAGTCCTGTGTGGACACCTAGGTGTTGTGGGCTTGGGGAGAGAAGGCTGCAGCTGCCTGTACACCTGGAGGAGGCCAGGGTCAGACTTCTGAGAGAATGAAAGAAGCTTGAGAAAACATCCTGAAAGGTACGCCCTGCTCCTCGCCAACCCCAACACCAAGCCAGCCCACGCCGCGCGGACCCGCAGCCCGAGGTTTCCTCGCGCGTGAGAAGGGACGGACGGGGGAGAGGGAGAAGGGCCCTAAGGCGGGGCGAAGGTCGAACGCTCGGACACCGGGCCCGCGCCCCCGGCGGGGCAGGAAGGGCGGCCGGGGCAGCGCCCCGAAGACAGCGCCCCCCGCCGCCCCCCGCCGCCCCCCGCCGCCCCCCGCCGCCCCCCGCCGCCCCCCGCCCCCCCGCCGCCCCCCGCCGCCCCCCGCCGCCCGGACACGCCCCCGCCGTGCCAGTGCCCGTCCACGTACTCGCTCCGGGTCTCCGCGCTGCCGGCCTCTCGGCTGCACCGCGGGTTCCGCAGCTTCTCCGCCGTCGCCGGGACGCCGCCAGCACCGCCACCACCACCGCCGCCACCGCCACCACCGCCCTTCAAGCGCTGCCGAACCCCTCGGCTCGCCATGGCAGGGGTAGAGAAGAGGATACAACCCGGCACCCTACGTAGTGGGCGAGCGCGGAGACACGGCTTTGGTTGGCAAACGGCGTCCGCCGAGGGACAAAAGACCTTGACATGCGCAGAAAATGCAAAATTCAGGAGTAATGGGGCCAGCTGGGGGCAAGTCCTCTAACCTGAAACTTTATTTCTCCCCACTATCGTAGCCATCCGTCCCACCCATATTCAATCCCCGGCATTCTTCTCTCCCTCCCTCCAACTCTCCCCTCACGCTTTGGCAGCCTCCAAACTACCCTTCAGCTCCCCCTTTAAGTGAAGGCACAAAGTGGTTAACTCTGCAAAGTAAGATGGGCAGATACTCCGCTCTCTGCCTAAGGGCGAGTTCCGACAAAGTGTTCATTTACCTCCTTATCCTTTCTGTGGTTTGAGGAGTGACAGAGAGAACCTACTTCAGTCTACCTGTAGACTAAGACTAATGAAATCTGAAAACTCAGACATCAGTCACTGCCCCTGCTGAGGCAGCACTGTGGTGGACACTATATATTGTGTACTATGTCCTTGAAGCTGAGACATGGGTGGCAACTAGTAAAGGGTGGAGCCATATTCCAAACCAGGACTGTACTGCAATGCTCAGGGGTCTGTCTGCTTCGAGCAGATCAGGAGAAACTCCTGATTTCATCCTGGCATTCTTTTCACCAGCACCTGGAACTCTCAGGGTCCCTCAGGGAATTCTGACACGCTTACACTCACCGCAGAGTCCCATCCCATTCTGTAGCAGTAATGGAAACCAGTCCAGAGGGGTTGTACAGAACTTGACAGGATCCCCGAAGGTTATGGCTTCATACTGCAAATCTTCAAGTATTGGAAATGGGGACTGATTGCGCTGCTCAATTCTCACACACGGGCCTGGTTACCAAGTCAAACATTCACTTCAGCTGGGTCCTGCTTCTATTCTCTTTTTTAGAAGACTAAGGAAAAAGAAAGTAACAAAGTGGCAGAAAGAACTGGAGTTGGAGTCAAGACAGAGCCAAATGTTAACTCTGACTCTTACCCTTACTAGTTGCATGACTTTAATAATAATATTCAACCACAGAATCATTTTATGATGCTATCACAACACCTACAATAATGATGGTCCAGTTCTGTGCTAATAAGTGATGGTCTATCTGACTCCAAAACCATCGTCATACGTTGACTTAGAAGGATGAATCACTGAGTTAAGGGAAAAGGAACTGATAGCATGGAAAACATTTATCAATTTTTGGTGAGATATTTAATTCCACTGCCTCTTCAACAGAGCATCTCATGTATAAAATGCTGTTTTCTTAGTCATTACTCAAGACAAATATATACTGCATGACTGAAAATCAAAAAACGCATTGCAGTTGGTAAGTTTAAGTGACAGTCACAGGTATCATTAGTCAACAGTTGTTATGACAGATTCAAAGAGCTCACAAAGACACAGTCCAGATAGGACAACAAGTTGCACACTGGTCTTCTGCATCCACGTTCACTCTCATGAAGGACCATGCTCATGCTGTCGAAAGAACTACCGAGGTAGAACGTGTAGCTGGCGTTCAATCTCCTTCCTAAATCGCAACTGCATTGCTGCTGCCTGCTTCTGGGTGAGGGCCTTATCACAGGCTTGGTAGGTCAGCCTGTAGCAGAGACTGACTTGGTCAGTCTCTGGATGCTGAAAACGATTAAGGAACTCTATGGATATGACAGTGTCCTTGGACACTGCTCGGGCCACAGTGTGAAACTCCAGCTCATCAAATCCTTTCTCCTCATCCAACCAAAAACTAATATCATGCACATAGCATGGAGGATACAGAGAATAACTTTTAAAGGATTCTATTTTCCCGGGTACAAAATTGTTCAGAAAACGGTCATCAAAGGTCCACAGCATCCTCCAATCAGAGATACCCCACACAAGCATGGCTAATAAGTCCAGGTTGACAGACACAAACACAAAACACTGGTCTTTAGGTAGAATGCTTGTTATTGCAGATGTGGTGACAGCCCCAATAGTCAGATCCTTGGCACAATATGAACCAAAATCATGAGACTTCACACAAATCCTATAATCTGTCCCATTTGGCTGGCGGACAAACTCCACTGAATGGCTCCGCTCAGAACCCTCCAGCCGTGCCCGCGCCAGAAGGTTATCTACAGTGTCCTTCAGGAGATCCAGCAGTGACTGCAAGCAGCCATCCTCTGCATTTGGATTAATCCCATATATAAATAAGGTCTCGTGAAATGCTGGCATCGTGAAAGGCAAAATGCGACATTTCCGAAAGACAGGTCCGCTGAGGGTATGCAGAAAACCGGGGATGAAGTCTGGTGCTTGGATGGCAGCCAGAGCGTGAACTAGAAGAGAAGGTCTAAGGCAGAACTTGGCCTGACCACAGACTGCTTCAGGAACTTCTTTCTCACCATCTCTTTCAGGACTCTTGGGAAATCTTAGTTCTGAAAATGACATAACAAAGTCCTCCATATCTCGGGTTGTCCCACCATTCTGGGACAGAGCAGATGAGTGCTCTTCATGGAGATGGATCCCAAAGGCAGCTGATGCATCATCCCACTTCCAGGAAGGGAGAACGCTCGGATGCTCCTGTGTCAGCAGCAGGGAGGAACACTTGAGTCTTTTTAGAGGGAAAGCTTTGCCCAATGCAGCAAGGAGGATCTCATTTACAGTTCTGACAGGATGACTGGAAGGTGCTTCCAGGAAATCCCTGTTTAAACACATAGAAAAATAACTTGACAAACTTAAAATGATAATTACAGCACAGATAGAATGAAACATGCAAATAAATATATAGAACAAAAGTATCCTAACTTCACTCTGAAGGAGATCTACCAAGAACTCAGTCTGTTTTTCAGTACTCTGATACTAGATCTACTATATAGAAGAAAATATGACAGTGTTTTATTTTAAAGAGGTCAGATGAAGAATATTCACACAGAAATGACACTAACAATCTAGCTACAATCCATTCAATATACATGTCTTATCTGTTATTAAAAAAATCATTTCCCCAAAATAAGTAAGTAAATAACCAGTTACCTGCTCAACTTTCCAACAAGTGCTTCCGGTTCTAGAAAGGAAAACCACTGGTCACCCAATTTGATCCTAAACATTCTGGATTGAGAGCTTTCAAATGGTAAGCTCCAGGTGAAGACATGGCTCAAAGCACCTTCCACATGAAAGGACCTATCTTGACTCCTGGCAAAACAGTAAACAATGTGAAGTCTATAGTTATTGAAGAAAGCAAATATTTCTAGTAATTGAATCAGAAAAATGGCAAGGGGAAAGTCAACTTACGAGGTTTTTTTGCCTTTTTTTTTTTTTAGTCTTTAGTGAAAGGGATGATAAGTAAGGCTGCTTTCTCTTGTATTACTTACCTATATCCAGTACACCTGTATCCTGGCACGGCCTCACAGCTAAAGGGATGCACATCACTTAAAATGAAGCCCCCCAGAGCTGCCATGGCAACTACTTGCCAACTGTTGTGCCATTCTCTCTGGGGCTTATCAGCAGGAGTTCCACCTTGTCCTCTACACAGTGCCACATGAACTTCTCCATCCTCTGCAAGGACATCTGCACAGCTAATAAGGGGGAAAACACCAGCTGTTCATCAAGAACAACTTAATCACAGGAGGTAGCAACACACACAAGGCTTAGCTTAGGAAATTACTCAAATTCAATTTGCACCTGTTTTCAAAGGTCTGCTAGACCTTTTTGCTCTCTCTCTTCCTCTCCTTGGTTCCTCTCCCCTGCTCTTCCTCCCTTCCCTCCCCTTCCCCTGTTCCTGCCCCACTCGGTTCTCTCTCTCTCTCTTGCTCTTGCTCTTGCTCTCTCCTTGGTTCCTCTCCCCTGCTCTCCCTCTCCTCCTTCTTACCTCCCTTCCCCCTCCTTCCCCTTCCCCTATTCCTGCCCCGCTGGAATAAACTTCCTAAGATAAAAAAAAAAAAAAAAAAAAAAAAAAAAAAAAAAGGTCTGCTAGACCTCAAACATGCATAGAAACTAGTTAAAAGTAAGTAATATAAACTAAATATTCAACCAAGGGTCAGCTTCTATCTCACTCATCACAGAAAGGCCGGTAACTGTCAAGTTCCTTTTCGGGCTTTTACTTCTTGAGCTGTTTCTCCCCTTTTAACAAGTTCTTTTCACTGTCCTCCTGGCAATTACAGATCTATATTTTAGGGAAGTGTTTGGCCTAGCAGACCATCCACTCTGCCTCCTGGAGTGCCCAGATTCAAGTCCTGGCTCTGCTCTTAATTTCAGCCTCCTGCTAGGGAGCAGCAGGTGACAGCTGAAGTGGTTGGGTCCCTGTCACCACGGAGGAGATGGGACTGACTTCTCACCCAGGCCCAGATGCTGCGGGAATTCAACAAATAAATCAGCTAATGGGAGAAACAGCTCTGTATCATTCTGCCTTTCAAGTAAAATTTTAAAAATAAACACTTCAAACACTAGTTTAAAGTACCACTTCAGTGAAGTGTTTAACAATTTTGACCCATGAGGCATCGCCAATAGCATCATGTATTTTAGTACAGTAGGGTGAAACATTGTTCTAATAATTCCATGAAGCAGTTACTATTTTAACAGCCTCAATTTATAGATGAGAAAATAGAAGCAGATAAGGATTAGGTAAGTGGTACACCAGGAGCTGAATCCAGGAAGTGTGGCTCCAAAGTTCATGCCTTTAGCCAACTATACCAGCTTTGAGTATATTGCACTATTAAAAAATAAAAGATCCTTCCTTTGCAGACCCAAGAGCACATTACCTTAACATTTAGGATCATGCCTTTCCCATGGAGGGTTCCTCTACAGCTGTCATCCCAAGTGTAACACAATAGCTCACACATGTCTACCTTACCTTTCTAATATGTTGGACTGTAGCACCTGTGTTAGGGACAGCTTAAACATTTTACTTGTGAGATTTTCCTCCATTCCTCACCTCTGGAAAAACTTGGCCAGCAGTTGCCTGTTCTTAGCTACTCCAGCTTTGCGTCCACAGTGAGGAAAGTTAAAAAAAATTCTATCAAACCCCCTATGGTGCGGTTCAAACGCATCTGCCAGCTGGGTGCAGTCCACACCGAAACGTATCTCAGCACCTGGCGAAGACAGTTGGGGGTGGGTTTAAAATACGTGAGACGTGGAGGTGCAGACACACCTCAGGAGCTGCAGACACACCTCAGGAGCTGCAGACACACAGCCGACCTGCTCCGAGTAGGACGACCCAGACAATCCCAGCAGAGGCACATTCCCACACGCCCACCCATCCTAAGGTGGGAGGCGCCGGCGGCTGGGCGGGGCTTCGCGTTAGAGGCTGATCCCACTAACCTCGCAGGCGCAGGCGCTGCAGATTCTCCTGGGCCACCGGGTCCTGGGCCAGGTCGGCCGGGCGCTGGAGGCAGGTGGCCGTTAGACAAGAGTCCGAATCCAGAACTTCGCTCAGAGCCGCGGCGAAGGAGAAATTCCCTTCCCCAACCAACAGGAGGCGCCGGGGCGCCATAGCCTCCACTCACTTGCGCTGTGCACTGGCTTTTTGCGTCACTTCCTTCGGGGAGGTCTCTGTCCGCCCCGTTTCTCGTCACTGTTGGATGACGCATGTTTATGCCCTGGTTGTCTTGACGAACTAGTGAGCCACTCCTACAACTGTAAAGCATGAGTGGAAAAGCGAAGGACCAGTCTGCGGGTTTCCTCACGCTCACACCTCCACGACAAAAGATGCGCTGTATCCCAGATCGCTGAGCAATTTCGTCACACGTGCATGAGGTCACAAGCACTCCCAGGCGCACAGCGGTGAGGCGAGTTCTGTGGAAAAGAGCGGGACGAGGCCGCTAAGTTGGGCTGGATCCTGCGTGTTCCTGACGCAGGAATCGCCTTCGTGTTTGACGAAATGGCCGCCTCCCACTGCCTCTTCTGCTCCCAGTGTCTCCAGGTGCTTTTATCTCCTACTTTCTGTTATTCGAGATACGTTGAGTGCTGTACCACCCGTGATCGTGGGTAGATTCATGAAATGAAGACGGTGTGGCCTACAGAATGGTGGAGAATACACCAAACCAAAAGAGGAGCTTCTGTGGCAGTGGGGTGCTTGCTGTGGGGCACGTAGAAGGGGAACCTGACTGAGGTGGGAAGAGTCCCCGAATGCAATGAATCCTGAGCTAAAGCCAAGGAGAGGCAAGTACACCTACCCGGGTTAAGAGGAGCAAAGGAACAATACTTGCAAAGGCATGATGGGAAAATCAGCATGGGATCTGGCTGGAATATAGTTGGAGGGAGTGTGGATACCAATAGCAGGGAGCTGAATCCCAGGGACAGCTGGGGGGGGGGTGCGGGGGAGGACAATGCCCCCTGGGTCTTCAGTCTGAGTTCCAGGCGTGTTGAACTTTGTGAGACTAGCTACACCCAGTCATCATGCTGTTTGGTGACATCAGTGCACAGAGATGTTCACAAAGGCAGGTGGTATGGGGCAGTTAGCTGACATGCCACCCTTTACAGCTACATTATTGTCTATAACTCTGTGGGAAGGAGAGCATTTTGTAATTCTCCAGTCATAGCCATGTGGCCTTGGTGATATGAGTACTCTAGAGTCTTTCTTTGCTCAGAAGACTGGGAAAGTCAGGTTGGATGACATCTTTAAGGAACATGGAACAGCTTGGAAGGGATTTGTGTCGCTCTCCTAGGATAGCCTCAAACAAGTCAACCTACTCAGGATCAAGTTACTGTCCTTCAGGGAAGGTATTGCCTGGCTTTAAAGCCAATAGCCCAGATTTAACTTTTGTTGTGTGTGTGTGTGTGTGTGTGTGTGTGTGTAAGGGGGAGGGTAGCTTTTGATTAGTTACTCAAAAAAAAGAAACTCGTATATTGATTATTTGGTGTAGGAAAAGCCGTATTGACTGAGAGGGCAGGCAGAGGAGAGGGACAGAGTTCAATAATGAATAAATAAGATCCTGCCCTGAAGAGGCATCCAGTTCTTCAGAGAAAATACAGTGTGTATTTCAAGAACTCTAACAGTGATCAAGAGTTACAAATACCATGAAAGATTGAAAACAAGGTTCTGCATTAGATAGAGGCAAGAGAATTTAAGTTTAGGGAAGGCATTATTTGAGTTGGGACCTAGAAAGAAGGAAATTATTTATTGATCATTTCTTGTAATATATAACTAGTTATTCAACTCTCATTTTTTCGTGTTTCACTATAGCAATACCTTGAGTTCCTGAACTCATACATGTCAAAGTTAGCTAAACACTTAGTTAATTCTGAATCTAGTATGATAAATATTCAAAGTTTTCCTGTCTTTTGGAGGGGCTAGGGTAAGCATTTCTTCTGTATAGTCATTCATTCCTTCCGATTAAAAGGATAGGTAAGTACATATACCTTACTAGGTAGGACACAAAGATAAGTTATTCCCCACTAGGGCATTGGAGATTGCTCTGCACACCCCTCCTAGAACTGTTCTGCATCCCAACTGTTGATATATGCCTTGTTAGAGTTATAAGCCAGTTTGGACTACACTAAAATCTGCCAAGTTCAGTAAAAACTATGCTTCAAAACTATAAACTGCTAAATACTAAATTGAAAATAGGCACGAGACAGCTGAATAGTTCCCTATAGCAATATTAAAGTGTGTGGAAACTGGTTGTTTATAAACTAAAATTGAAATGACAATGAAGTAGTCACAGGATGTGGTTAAGAACCTGTATTTTTTTAACATATTGGTTACTCAGTGCCATGTCAATTAATTCCATAATGTTGTAAATTGTTGTTGATGTTATGTTGGGGGTTTTAATTGGTCAGAATGATATTCTTCCAACTCAGCCTTCAGACCAGAGATGGTCTCCCCAAAAAACCGTTGAATTTATCTGGACAATATGATGCTGGACTCTATGCTTGGTATATGCCTGCAATGAAAGAATCTGGACTGGATTTGAACTGTAATATTGCAACAAGGTGGAGGAATCCACCATGGGGGTAGCGCACGGGGAGAGGTTGGGGGAATCCCAGAGCCTATGAAACTGTGTCACAAAATGAAATGTAATAATTAAAAAAAAAAAAAAAAAAGGATAGGAGAGTGGGTTCATAGGCCCAGAAACATGGAAACAGACCACAACAAGTAGATTGAAAATGCTGATTGGGCCCAGTGCGGTGGCGCAGTGGTTAAGGTCCTCGCCTTGAACGCCCCCGGGATCCCATATGGGCGCCGGTTCTAATCCCGGCAGCCCCGCTTCCCTTCCAGCTTCCTGCCTGTGGCCCGGGAAAGCAGTCGAGGACGGCCCAAAGCTTTGGGACCCTGCACCCGCGTGGGAGACCTGGAAGAGTTTCCTGGCTTCGGATCGGCATAGCATTGGCCGTTGTGCTCACTTGGGGAGTGAATCATCGGACGGAAGATCTTCCTCTCTGTCTCTCCTCTCTGTATATCTGCCTTTCCAATGAAAAAATAATAAAAATAAATCTTTAAAAAAAAAAAAAGAAAAGAAAATGCTGATTTACACCTGGTTGTGTAAAGCAAAGAGTAGAAAGATGTGCCTTTTGTTTTGGTTCCCTGATTTGTACAATAAGCTTTTTCTATTCTTGGTTTTTCCTAGAGACAGACCCTTGCCTATTTTCTTGCAAACCCACATTATGGCAGCATCATTTATGCAGACGGCCACGGTGAAGTGTGGACAGATTGGAACAACATGTCCAAGTTTTCCCAGTATGGGTGGAGATGCACCACTAATGAGAATTCCTATTCAAATCGTACTCTGATGGGCAACTGGAACCAGGAAAGATACGATCTGAAGAATATTGTACAACCCAAACCCTTGCCTTCCCAGGTAGTTTTATTTTCATTCTGTTCTCTTCTGTCAGCATATGAGATGCCTGTAATCACTTGAGAGGCAGGAATCTACTAACTTCCAGGGTTGAGACTTAGTCTCCTATTCAGGGATCTATCCTCACCTGGACTGCCTATCTCATTTAATATCAAGTTGGATAGGATTAGATTATCTGAAAGATACCAAAATATTCCTTTTATCTTGCTTCTGTTTGGATGTTTTCTATTAATCTACAGAAATATGTAATGTATTCTGACTCAAGCTAGCCTCTTTTCTTGCATATTAGATTGGTTTTTTTTTTTGTCTGAATTGTTCTGACAGATTTCCCCTAAAAAAAGGTTGTGAAAGTAGGATTTAGACTAATGACATGTTGAGATCTAGTCCATCTAAAATCTATCCCATTCAGAATTCATTTCATATTGTCCTTATTTCCCAATGTTAACTGGATACTTCTAGACTCTAAATCTATTAATTTTTCTTTTTCAGTTTGGACACTATTTTGAAACAACATATGATGCAAGCTACAACAATCATATGCCACTCTCAACTCACAGTAAGCAGACCATTCTTTTTTTTTAAGATTTATTTGTTTTTATTGAAAGACAGATTTACAGAGAGAAGAAAAGACAGAGAGAGAGATCTTCCATCCATTGGCCAGAACTAAACAAATCTAAAGCTAGGAATCGGGGCCCCCTCCAGGTCTTGACACATGGGTACACAGTCCCAAGGCTTTGGACTGTCTTCCACTGCTTTCCCAGGCCTCACCAGGAAGCTGGATGGGAAGTGGAGCAGCCAGGCCATTGAACCAGCACTTTTATTGCATACAGCACTTGCAGGCAGATGATTAGTCGGTTGAGCCATCATGCTGGCCCTCGAATTATTCTTATCTTTTATATTCTCAAAACCTCATTTGGTACCTGATGCAAGAACCAAAAGTAAACCTGGCCAGTTAATGAATGAACCATTTCTCCCTTTTCTCAATTTTGTATTTTTTTTTAAAAATAAGATCTATTTACTAATTTGAAAGAGGTACAGAGAGAGAGTGAGAGAGATTCTACCTATTGGTTCACTTCCTTGATGAGTAGCTGGGGATGGGCGAAGCTAAAACCAGGTGCCAGGAGCTGCTTCCAGGTTTGCCATACAGGTACAGCGGCCCCTATACTTGAACCATTTTCCTCTACTTTCCCGGCCTGATACAATAGGAGGGAGCTGGATCAGAAGAACAGTAGCCAGTACTTAATGCTGGTGTTCTATAAGTGGTGCCTTAAACCGGTATATCATTTTGCCGCCCCTCCCCGCTTTTTTTCAGTGTTGAGAGGACTCACTGTCTCTTATTACCCTCAGAAATAAAAAGGAATTCCTAACTAAAACTTGTGTTTTTTTGGCTTCTCATTTTTTCCTCTCAGGATTTAAGCGAGAACCCCATTGGTTCCCAGGACATCAGCCTGAGCTGGATCCTCCTCAATACAAATGCACAGAAAAATCAACTTATATGAGAAGCTATTCAAAACCTCAAACTGAGTATTGCTCTGGGTGTAGGGGGGATCCTAACGTTCACCAGTTTCAAGCTCCAGGATTCTAGGGAAGAAGCAACAACTTCATTTTTATACCATTGAATGGAGGAGAGAGCACATGTTAAGCACAACTAAACATTGAGTTCACTTCTACACAATGTCACTCAAAATAAGTAAATTGCAAGACCTTAAAAATATACTCTGTTCTTTTTTGTTGTTTGGTATAACCAATATTTAATTGTCAGACTTAAGTTAATTACATGTACACTTAGTAATTCTACATTAGCAGTATTATGGAAGGACTTTAAAAATAATTGGTTAAGTCTATAACCATTCTAGTTCTTTTATTCTAATTATTTTATCAGTTGCCGTAATGCAAAACCCAGCATAATTTATGTTTTGCTAGATGCCATCTAGCTGCAAGATTTGGGTCCAGAACTCATGTTAACATTTAAACCTCAATGTCAAGTTAATGGTACTAAGAAGATGGAAACTTAATCCACTGATGGTTTAGAAGGTAGGCTTGGTGGGAGGTCCTTGGGAGGTGGTTCTCACCAAGTTAGTTATAAAAGGCTGGATTGTCCCTTCTCTGTCAACTTCCTGGCTTGCATGTGATCCTTCCTCCGCTCATGCTGCATGCTTCCTCTTGCCTTGTGATGTACCACCTGAGGACTGTACCAGCAAGAACATGATCATCAGTGCTGAACCATTGGGCTCACCAGTATTGAATGTGAACCTCCAAAACCATGAGTTTTGAAATAAGGCTCCCTCCTTTATAAGTAGCTTGCAGGAACAAAACAAAGCAAAAAGCTGACATGCAGAAAATTGGTGCCAAGTAGTGGTATTATCAGTATAACTTTTGCTCATAGTTGTCAAGACTCCTTTGGAGTTGGTTTCTCAAGAAAGATTGGAAAAGGTTGAAGGGGTGTGCTGAGGAAAGCCTAGAATGCTGTAAATAGAGTGTGCTGAGTGATTCTGGTGAGGACTGAGAAGAACAAGAGGCTGATGCAAGTGTGGATGGGAAAGGCCATACTGATATCAGATGGAAATATGGATTCTGTTGGAAACTGGACAGAATGCCTCACTTCTATGCTGTGGGGAAAAAAACAAACTGAGTGCACTGTGTTGCCGTGGTCATTTTGTGGAAAGCTGAGCTTAGAAATGATGAACTAGTTTGGAAGACACGATTTTAAGGCAGCAGAGTGTTCAAACTCCACCATGGCTGCCATTAATTGCTATTAATAGAATCAAGAACAAATGAAGCAGAATGGAAGAATTTGAGAATTTTATAGTCTTTCCAAAGAAAAAGAAAAGAAAGGATTTGGAACTCAAGTATGCAGTGGAGAAAGTTCTTAGAATGACATTAGTACAGGTTAAAAAGAGAACCAGGTGCTTATTGGCAAGTCAGCCAATGAGGAAAAGCCTGAGGGGCATCTCAGGAATCTTAAGGCTACCTTTCCTGGCCCAGGATCACAGGGACACCACTATTTAATGACCTCTCAGGGTACTTTGAGCAAGCTTACCCAAGAGCACCATGTTCAGGCAGTAAAGAACTACAGAGCAGTAGCCATGTTTCAAGCAGGTGTGGATGCAACTCATGCCGGTAGCAGACCTTGATGGTATGATGCTGGCTTTTGGGGCATGCACAATGCAAGCTGTGACAGATCATGGTAACCTCCACTAAAATTTCAAAGGAAAGTTTATGAAGTGGCCCACAGAATTGGAGCCCTTGTGTGGAACTCCTCTGGGGTAATGGCTAGTCAGTCTGTAGAAATGAAGTCACAGTGGAGCTGCCAAAAACAGGTGTCAGCATGTGAGCTTCAGATGTCAGTGTGGCAGCCTCCAAGAGAAGCCATGTGGGTAGAGATCACCAGGTGCTCCAGCTGGACTTCCGAGATACCTCAGAAAATCTGGCAGCTGAGGCAGAGACCTGTCAGAGAAGGGAGCCACAGCAGAGCATCCACTAAAGCAAAGCCAGGGAGATATGTGGGTTTAAAGCTACCACAGAGTTCTCACCAGGTGATTCCCTGTGGAGTCAGGGCTATAACCTCCGAGAACCAAAGCATGTACTGTGACCAGCAAAGCCCCTGAGCCAGGATTGCACCTGCCACACTTGTTCCCAGGATGCTGGACAAGGGGTCTTAGGGTTTAATGCTTACCCTATTCACTTTTGGTCTTGCTTTGGTTCAGTTAGTCCAGTCTGTGTGTTAATTGCTTTGGTATGGAAATGTATACTCAGTGCCTGTCCCACCATATTGTGGAAATATATGAGTTGGGTTTTTATAGATTGGAGTCAGATGAAATGTTAAACTTTGGACTTTAGAATTAAATGATGGAGGTCCTGGCGTGGTAGCCTAGCAGCTAAAGTCCTCGCCTTGCACATGCCAGGCTCCCATATGGATGCTGGTTCGTGTCTGGCAGTCTTACTTCCCACTCAGCTCCCTGCTTGTGGCCTGAAGCTATCAAGGACCGCCCAAAACCTTGGGACCCTGTAACACGTGGGAGACATGGAGGAGGCTCCTTACTCCTGGCTTCGGGTTGGCACAGCTCCAGCCATTGCAGCCACTTGAAGAGTAAATTAATTGACAGAAGATCTTCCTCTCTGTCTCTCCTCCTTTCTGTATATCTGACTTTCCAATAACATTTTTCTAAAAAGTAAACCTTTATAAAAAAGAAATTAAGGACTGAGTCAAGACTTTGAGTCTATTTGGAATGGAATGAGTTTATGTTGTATGAGAATATGAGTTTTAGTGAGTTAGGACTACAGTTTTAACAGGATTTGGCTCCAAAACTCATGTAGACTCAAAGTCATAAATTAATGATATGAAGAGGGTAGAAATATAACTCAGTTATAGTGTTTGTGAGATTTTGGGGAGATCCTTAGGTCATTATAGTCATGCCCTCAAATAGCAGCTTCCATGAGATGATGGGATATATACGCGTCAGCTGGACCAAGCCACCCTCTCGGTTTTCTGGCTGTCGTGTGACTCATCGCTCACCCACAGCTCTGAACTCTTGTATGCTGCCTCAGGACTCTGCCAGCAAGAACAGCACAATCAACAAATGCCAAACCAGGGTGGTAGCCTGGTTGATTGTGGTCTGTGAAGCTCTAAAACTGAGCTAAAAGAAACCTCTACCTTCATAAGTAGCTTGTCTTAGATAATTTGTTATAGTGATGAAAATACTCTAAATATAAGCCCGATAGTCACAGTCACACAGTATGCCTTTACTATGACATTAATGAACATCATCTCATGAGACTGACTACAAATAGAAAAATAAGTTCTTGTTACAGAGAACCTAAAACAAAAACAGGCATCATAATCTAATGGATTCCATATACCAATACCTAACATAAGTAATTTATTATATACTTCTGTCTACTTTCTCTTTTTTGTTGATTTAATTTTGGATCTAGTTTCAGAAATATAATTTTATATATAAAGATTTTTTTAATTTCAAGATAAGGATTGTCACTTAACTTCTACAAAGACCACTGAGAAACTTCACCAAAGAAGCATTTATTACAACTACTGTAGCAAGGTTTGATTCAACAGCAACTTAACACGGTTTTGGTAGAGATCACAAAGGCAGATGTTAGAGTGGTTTGAGGTGGGTCTTCAAAGCAGGGAGCTAGTGTGGGGACCAGTAAGGGGATATGGCTAGTTTAGGATTGGCAACCCAGAGGAGTCAACCATCATTGTTTTAGTTTAGTTAACCACACTAAACTAAATGATGTTTAAACATCATTTTCTGTGGTCTTCTGTGTAAGAAAACAAATATATGAGTAATAATGACCATGTCACTTCTCAAATCTTTGTTATTTTAAGTTCTAAATATAGATCTGGAATTTATATTGTATATGATTTTGGAAAGTAACAGTTTCAATTTTTTTAGCTGTTTTGAAAAGCAATGTATTATCTCCATTATTATTTAATACCATTTTTATTGTAAATTGACTGTAATATACATGCAGATCTAGTTTTAGGCTGCCTGTCTTACTCAATTGTTATTCCTTGTACTATCATATTTACAATGCCTTAATGAGCTCATTATCTTAAGAGTAATTTTATGTCTTAACACAGCAGGTCAAATACCTTCACCTTGTTTTTCTTCTAGAATGTCCTATTTTTAGCCCTTTGTATTTTCATCTAAAATTTAGAATTAGCTTGTTCTACAAAAATATGTTGTTTAAAATGTTAATTGAAACTGCATTGTGGGGCTGGTGTTGCGGTGAAGCAGTTGGACCATGCGACATCCCATGTGGATGCTGCATTGGGTCCTGAATGCTCCACTTCTGATCCAGCTCTCTGTTGTTGTACCTGGGAGAGCAGAAGAGGATGACCCACATAGTTGGGCCTCTGGTACACACATGGGGGACCCCAAAGGATCTCTTGGCTGCTGGCTTCAGCCTGGACTAGTCCTAGCTGTTGCAACCTTTTGGGAAGTGAACCAATGAGTAGAGGATATTTCTTTCTCTGTTGCTTATTCCTCTATATTTTAGATAAATATGTAAATCTTAAAAAAGAAGAAGAAACTATATGGTAAGATTAGTTTTTTAAACGGTTTTTTTTTCAGATGCTTTAGTTTTTTTGAAATGTGAGTCTTTTTAAAATTAATTTTTAAAGGCAAATACACGCACACATGCATAGATACTATCTAGTTCATCCTGAAATGTTCATAACAGCCAGAGATAGGCCATCTGAATCCGGGAACCTGGAACTGAATCCAGGTCTCCTGTGTGACTGACAGAGACCCATTTACTTGAGCTGTTACCTGCTAAATCAGTGTGCCTTAACAGGAACCTGAAATAAAGAATGGAGTCAGAACATGAGCACAGGCACTCCAATATATGGATTGTGTTTGCACTAGGCCAAACATTCATTGCTAGAATTTGACTTACTATCTTATTAATTCATGGGCATACTTATACTATGCATATTGTTCTGTGAACACATATTTGGAATCTGCATATTACACATTTTATTCTAGTGGCTACATATCTAGCATGCTTTAAAAATTGAGGTAGAGGGGCCAGTGTGTGTTGGCATCCCATATGAGTGTCACTTTGAGTCTTGGCCATTCCACTTCTTACGCATCTCCCTGCTAATAGTCTAGGAGAACAATAGAGGCTGGCCCAAGTCCTTGGGTCCCTGCATCCACATTAGAGACCTAGAAGAAACTCCTAGGTTTGAACTGGTCTAGCTGCAGCTGTTGCGGCCATTTCTGGGAGGAGTGAACCAGGGGATGTAAGATCTCTTCCTGACTCTTCTCCTCTCTCTGTAACTCTGATTTCAAATAAAAAGAGAGAGAGAGATAAAGACTGGTGTTGTAGCACAGCTGGTTAAACTTGCTGCCTGAAACACAGGCATCTCATATGAGCACCAATTTGAGTCCCAACTGCTCTTCTTCCACTCCAACTCCCTGCAAACACACCTGAGAAAACATACAGGATGACCCAATAGTGGATGTAGAGCAGCTGGAATTTGAACTGGCACCCATATGAATGCTGATATTACAGCTGGCAGTTCACTCATATGCCGCAGTGCTGGCCCTGAGGTAGTTTTCTTCCATTTCTTCTTTGTAGAATGTTACTTTTTTTAAATAGTGAAAGTGTATTAAATTCTGTCAAATTTGCATCATCAGTTGAGTTAACCATCTTATCTCCTTTATTAAGTTAATGTGTTGTATTACATTAACTGATTTGAATTATTTTTAATCACCTTGACATTCCACAAATAAATTCCACTTGACCATAGAGTATAATGCTTTCATATGATTCTATTATTTCTATAAGTGTTTGGAAGAATTCATCAGTGAAACTGTCTCAACCAGGACTTTTCTTTTTTGCAAAAGAAAATTTTATGATTTGAAAGGCAAAGTGATCTAGAGAAAGAGGGAGAAACAGAGAGAGAGAGAGATCTTCCACCTGTTGGTTCACTCCCCTAGGACTGCAATGATGAGAGTTGGGAGGTGAAGTTAGGAAGTCAGAGCTACATCAGCTCCTCCAGATGGGTGCTAGGGGCCAAGGAACTTGCACCATCTTCAGCTGCTTTCCCGGACACATCCATAGGGAACTGGATTGCCAGTGGAGCAGCCAGGACTAAAGTGGCACTCCAATATGGTATACCAACATTAGAGGCAGCACCTTACCTGCTATGCCATCAGTGCTGCCTGTTTAGATATGTTTATTGCTGGTTAAATAGAATCCCAATTCTAGCTGTACATCGATTCAGATTTTCTGTCTCTTCATGATTCAATTTTGGTCATTTGTTTCTTAGTAACTTCTTCATCTATATTTTCAGTGTGCTGGTATACAGTTGTTCATAGCATTTGCATTTAATTATTTCTGCACAATCTAAAGTAGTGTCCCAGTTTCTTTTATAATTTTAACTTAACAATTTGATCTTTCCCCTGAGACAGTATGGTTAAAGCTTTGTCAATTTTGTTGTTCTATTCAAAGAAACAAAATGCTTTAAAAAAAAAAAAAAACACAAAAACATAGAAAAAAGAAACAAATGCTTGTGTCATTGATTTTTCTCTTCTATTCACTATTTTATTTGTCTCTTGCTGTAACATTTATTTCCTTCTGCTAACTTTGGTTTTCTAGTCCCTTAAGATGTGAAATTAGATTATTGATCTAGAATGTTTTCTTTTTTGAAGTTAAAAAAAATTCATTTATTTTTTACTTTGAAGAGTTACAGAGAGAGATCTTCAATCTACTGGTTTACTCACCTAATGGCCACAGTGGTCAGAGCTGGGTCAGTCCAAATCCAGGAACCAGGAGTCTCTTCCGAGTCTCCCACCTGAATGTAGGGACACAAGGCCTAGGACCATCCTCCACTGCTTTCCCATACTGGCACTGCATGCAGAGGATTTTTTAAAAGCAGCATCACACACACACACACACACACACACACACACACACACACACACACACACACACACACACACACACACACACATACGGAGATATTTTATATCCACTGGGTGATTTCTCAAATGACTACAACGGCTAGGGGCCGGGCTCAGCTAAAGTCAGGAACCGGGAACTCCATGCAAGTCTCCCATGTGGGTGTCTGGAACTCAAGTACTTTAACCATCAGCTAGTACTTCCCTAGGCACTTTTACAGGGAGCTAGATGAGAAACAGAATAGCTAGGACTCAAACAAGCACTTTAATATGCGATATGAGCAGCAGGTTAACCCACTTCATTGCAGTGCTTGCTCTCCCTATCTTTTTCAACATACATATTTATAATATGAATTTCCTTTCAGTGCAGAATTTGCTGCATCTTGTAAATAGATTATATCGGAGAGGCTTCATTGGTGGTAATCCTGTTACAGCTGTTTATTGCCCATGAATCAGCTGAAGGCAGTCCTCCTCATTAGGAAAATGTCAGATAACCACATTGAAGTCACCAGGTCTTCCCGGAGGCTTATTTAATTTCAGAGATACACTCCTGTCTCTATGTAGCATTATCCAGAGTGTACTCAGATGTGTTGGTTGTTGAAAGCAAGAGTTAAAATCAAGGAAGAGGAGAGCAAGAAAACAGTGTTTCTTGATCTCTGCCAGGGGTTTCCCTGCCCACCCTTTTTCTCTTCATTTACTTTTTTTTTAACTGGAAAATCAAATATACAGAGAGGAGGAAAGATAGAGAGGAAGATCGTCTGCCCGCTGATTCATTCCTCAAGTGGCTGCAATGACTGGAGCTGAGCCGATTTGAAGCCAGGAGCCAGGAACCTCTTCCAGGTCTCTGACACTGGTGCAGGGTCCCAAGGCTTTGGGCCATCCTTGAGTGCTTTCCCAGGCCACAAGCAGGGAGCTGGATGGGAAGCGGTGCCTTTAGGATCAGAACCGGCACGCATACGGGATCCTGGCCTGTGCAAGGTGAGGACTTTAGCTGCTAGGTTACCACTCCGGGCCCCTCTTCATTTACTTTTTACAGCTGTACATATCAGCACTCTATGTTATAAATGGGAAACCTAAAAACCATAATCCTTAAGTAACTTGCCTATATTTTTACCATTACTAAATGGTGGAGCCAATCATTTCAACTCTGAAATCCCTGGATGAAACGGATGATGAAATCATGCGATGATAAAACAGATCTGCTTAAGCATTTATTTAAAAGCATTCTGAGAATTCAAACAAAAGACAGTCATCTGTTGCTGAACATTATTTTATTAGCTTTATAATTTGGGCCTGCCCTTAGCATTAATAAGCTTCAGCGCTAGTCACAAGATTTCCATTCACTGGTGGGGAACTTGTCTCGTTTTTAAAAATGCAGTTAGAGAAAAGCCATCTACTTCTTGGGGGCCGCGGCGACAGCCGGTTTCTCCTCACGGGTGATAGGAATGGTGCGTTCAGGGCCAGGGGCTTGCTTCCTTGGTCCGTTCACAGTAAGGACCCCATCAGATGACAGGGATGAAGTAATAGTGAGAGGGTCCACGTCAGCTGGGATCCGGTATTTCCTGTGGAACTCCCTGGAGATGAAACCATGTTCATCCTAATGCAGGAGAATTAAGAAAGAGGCATAGATATAAGAACAGGACATAATCCCACTCACCCAGAACTCAAAACTTTCTATTTCCCCTGTAAGAGACCAGAGGCTGTTGAGAACGTGAAAGGAAAAAAAAAAAAAAAAAAAAACAGTTCAGGTTTTGGACAAAGATGAAGTCTAGATGGTAGTTTCTACCTATAAGAGTATGAGAAGTCTGAAACAGTCAGGAACTTTAATCCTAAGGCACAGATATGTCTATGAGTATTTTTCAAAGGTTTAAAACAATGTTGGGACCCAGCGGCGTGGCCTAGCCGCTAAAGTCCTCGCCTTGAACATGCCAGGATCCCATATGGGCGCCAGTCCTAATCCCGGCAGATCCACTTCCCATCCAGCTCCCTGCTTGTGGCCTGGGAAAGCAGTCGAGGACGGCCCAAAGCTTTGGGATCCTGTACCCGTGTGGGATACTTGGAAGAGGTTCCTGGCTCCTGGCTTCGGATTGGCATAGCATCGGCTGTTGTGCTCACTTGGGGAGTCAATCATCGGATGGAAGATCTTCCTCTCTGTCTCTCCTCTCTGTATATCTGACTTTCCAATAAATAAATAAATCTTAAAAAAAAAAAAGTTGGCTGAGCCTACAGGATTTGGAATCTTGTCCTGACATCTGAGTCCCTGAAGAAGCCCCAAAATTGTCCTGACTCTTCAAGAATGCCCAGAATGTTTCAGACTTGCTACTGAGAAAAAAAAAAGTGACTTAATCCATTAAGGGAGATTGCGACCCAAACTTAAGAACAAATTGAAACAACCTGAGGACTTCCTGAGGACTTTAAGTGTATTAATTTATGCAAAAGCCATGAATTATCACTAGTTGGTTAAAAAAAATTAAATCTGTTCAGAAACACATGAGAGTCTATTCCATTCATCAGAATTTCCTGAAGAGTAACTGACCCTGCTCTGTATGCCTGCTCAATCTCCAGCATTAATCCAGGCTCTCAATTTAACTGATTTTCACACAAGTTATAGGAGATTGAATACTGAGTACAGTTTTGAAACACCAGGAAACCAAGCAGTGTAGCATTAAGATAGGCTAAAGAGCAGTGAAGCATCCAAAAGAAAAGTTACAGATTCAAATGCCTTCAGGGCATGTATGGTTACTGGAATTGCATAGAGCAGCCAGTTATCTGACAGAACTACTTTAAAAAATAAGTGACTCTCAACCTTGACCATAGATTAGCATCACCTTTAGAACTTTCAAAAATGATGACTATGTCCTGCCCCCAATATTCTTAATTAAATATTCAGAGACACTCCTGAGCAACTGAATTTGGGGATGTGCTCCTGGTGATTAAAATGTGACCAAGGTTGAGAATGACAGGCTAAAAATGGGGAGCCAATATTACATCTGTCACATTGGAGGCAGTGAAATCAAACAACCAAGGCTACTATTGTCACCTAATAAAAAAGTCGGTTCCTAATTTACCCCGATCCAGATGCCTGTGTTTTTGGGACAGACATGCTGCCAGCCTCAAAAGCTGATGGTAGTGCCTGGAGTACAACATACAGCAAATGAATGAACAAAAGGAAAAAATCAGTTACATACCTGGCGTTCTTCGTGTTTGCCATGCACCTCAATCACATCTCCCAACACCTTGACCTTGAGCTCCTCCGGGGAGAAGTGCTTCACATCCAGATTGACAGAGAACCTGTCCTTCTCCAGGCGCATCTAGGTGAGGTAGGAGGAAAGAGAGCAGGCATGTTGCTTACACTGGTACAGTTGTGCCATTCTGTAGACGTGCTTTCGGTCCAGCTATTTTATCCTCCTCTTTTCTGCTAAATATCCTACAGTGGTACCAAAGGCATGCTTGTTTGTCATCAACTCCAAACTTTATTTACAAGGCTGGGGAAGATGACCCGGAGAGCCCATCACCACATGGATCTGGGCTTGGCCTCAACTGCCTCCAGGACCCCAATGACTTGCTTTGTTATTTGTCCCTGAGACAAAGGCCACTTCTTCTTGCCCAGGTCTTTGCCAAGTTTCCCACCCATAGAATCTGGAATGTTCTGTTTGTCCTTCTAAAGCCCTTGCTCACTCAGCTCCTGTTTACCCACACTTGAATATTTTTAAACCACAGTGTTATTATCTGTGACAGTGCCTGTCACTCTTATCTGCTCACAGCATTCTCCCACCCTCTTAGGACAAGTTGGAAAGTCCTAAGACTAGACCTACGGTCTCTCCTTATAAGGCTTGGACCCAGGCCAGGGCTCTGTCACAAAACAGAGGCACTTGGCAAATCATAAAAGAGGGGAACAGAAAGGAAGAAAATAGTGGTGGTTGTCACCAGCCCCCCCTGCAGGTATAAAAAACTGGGGATGAGGTGGGATTATCCTGGCACTAGAACCTGAGATGACAAAATCCCTCAGGAGACATGAACTAGGGATTTGAAGGCAGCTCTTTCTCTTCAGATCATTCTAAGACAAAGCAGAAAGGAGTTTCTTGCTCACAAGTTAGACAACAGAGGATCATCCGCACAGCCTGGGAGACGTGTAGGCAAGATACAGAGAAGTGTGAAAGAGAACCAAGTGCCTGAAGGAGGGAGGAAGTAACCACACTTTCTCTTCCCTAATGCACACACATGTGCTTAAAGTGATTTTTCAGGCAGGTAAGAAAAAGTAGATAGAGACATCTCAAGAAGGTTCTAGAAAGAACTCTGCTGTCCTGGCAGAGGGGAAGACTCACCTCTGAGAGTCCAGTGTCAATCCAGCTAGGTGCCCGCAGGAATGAAGGTGGCCGAAGATAGAAAGGGCTCAGGGAAGTGGAAGTTGGGAAGAGGTCAGTCTCCAATAGGTGCTCTCCGAAGAACTGGTCGAAGAGGCGGCTGGGCGAGTGGAAAGGAAAGAAGGGGCGGCGGATCCAGGGGTGGTGGATGGCGATGTCCATGGTGGCTAGGTGAGTGTAGGGGTTCAGCTGGCTGGTCAGCTCCTTCAGTCGCAGCTACAGCCAGCTCCTTATATATGCAGTCTTGTGAAGCTTCTGGAATGGTGATGTCAGGGGTTTTATTATCCCAGCTCTCCGCTGGTTCATGGAGACTTGTGATCGGGGATTTGGCAGTGTGACACATACCCAGTACTCACTGAGCTAAGAAAAGAGAAACACAAACACGCCTGAGCTGGCCAGTGACTTGTCATGTTCCTGTTTCACTAGCCTTCCATCCACACCCGAAGGCACCCACCCCCTTCCCCTGTTCTCTGGAGCTGGCACAGAGTCAGGAATCCCAAGCAGGCGTGTGGTGTGCCCCTCCTCCTCCTCCTCTCCAGCCTTGCATGCCAGGGGCATCAGGCCAGCAACTATCTTGGGCCTGGGCAGGAACTGGAATCTTCCTAGGCTGGGCCCCAGGGACATTAACTGTTTGTAGGTCCTCAGAGGAGAGCAGTTACTGCCAACATGTCAGTACCAGGCATCTGCATGGTGCCCTGGTTGACCTGGGCTCAGGAGAGGACCCTGACATTAATCTGGGCGGAAATGCCCCAATGTCCCTAAGAAGGACAGAAAACCTTCTTGCATCTTTGATTTTTACATGGCTTGCAGAACATGAAATCCAAAGTGCTTTGTGAAGTAGGGTGCACAGTCCTGCAACTGAGGAGAAAAGGGATTGTGGGAATGTGTTATGGTTCAGGGATGGGGACAGCCTCTCCTGGCCCTCTCAGCCTCAGCTGCCCTCCCCGGCTCCCTCAGGACCGGGACCCCCAGCTGTCTGCTTTGGCCCTCTGCAGGCGACAGCTGAAGGGTGTGTGGGGGAGGGGACTGGGGGTCCGAGAGGAGCTGGTCACACCCTCTATCTTTGCACTCAGGGCCTGGCTCCCCGGCCCTGCCCCCAGAGGCCTTGCACTATTTTGGGTGGTACAGACCCCGCCCCCACCTCGGACTAAATCCTGGCTGTCCGGGAAACTGAAGGGGTCGCACTGGCCTCTTGGGGCTACACCTCAGATCCGGGCTGCCACTACATCTGAAGCTATGTCGGGCCGCACGGTCCCCCATGCCCACCCTGCCACCACTGAGTATGAATTTGCCAACCCCAGCCGCTTGGGTGAGCAACGCTTTGGAGAAGGTATGGGCCACAAGCCACCCCCTTACCTCCCACCCCCACCTCCTGAAATTCTGGGCTGATCTCCCAACTGGCCTCCACCCCATTTCGGGCTTAACTGAACTCCGGGGGTGAGCCGTCTCCAAACCCAGACTCCCTCCTCACTCCCTGCAAGCAGGACTCATTCCTCTTCCCACTGGGGCCTGCCGTGCTCTGAGAGCCACCCCTTGCCAGCCCTGTGTGCCTTCTCATTCCCTTACCATCCACCCGTCCCAGTTAGCCTGCTCTCCTCTGCCACTTGTCCTAGCTATTCTGGCCTCCCAGTCACTGTGTTGCCTCCCCTCCCCATCTCGACTTCTGCCTTCTCTCCTGCTTCTCCCAGTCTCCTGATCTCCTTTCACCTTGGTGCTCATCCCATCCTCCATCATTCTCCATATCTTCTCTCTCTGTCTCTGCCTCAGGCCTCCTTCCAGAAGACATTCTGACCCCTACCCTCTACCATGGCTACTATGTCCGGCCGCGGGCTGCCCCAGCTGGGGAGAGCAGCCGGGCAGGGGCCTCCGAGCTTAGGCTCAGTGAGGGCAAGTTCCAGGCATTTCTGGATGTGAGCCACTTTACCCCAGATGAGGTGACCGTGAGGACTGTGGACAACCTGCTCGAGGTGTCTGCCCGGCACCCCCAGCGCTTAGACCGCCATGGATTTGTGTCCCGGGAATTCTGCCGCACCTATGTCCTGCCTGCTGATGTCGACCCCTGGAGGGTCCGAGCTGCTCTCTCCCACGATGGCATCCTTAACCTGGAGGCACCTCGGGGTGGCCGACATTTGGACACAGAGGTTAATGAGGTCTATATCTCCTTGCTGCCTGCACCTCCTGATCCAGAAGAAGAGGAGCAGGTGGCCGGAGCTGAGCCCTGATTGTCATTGACCTAACTCCAGCGCATCCCTTTCTACTTCCTGTGGTGATACCAGCGGCTGCCCAGCACCCCAGAGGTAGCAGCACCCTTGGGGAAAGGGAAACGCGCACGGTCCACTGTGTGTTGTTTGGTCCTTTGGGACATGCTATAGCCTTTGGTTTACTCCTGGGTAAAGCTGAATAAACCCAAATTTCAGGGCCTTGTTTGTGCTGCTCCCTGTTCTGTGGCCTGGAGGATGGATGGGGCAGAGAGGGAGGAGGTCAGAGGCAGCTGCACAAAAAGCTCCTCAGTGAGATGGGCCCCACGTCACAACACCCTGAGCTCACACCCGGAAGCTGACACTGGCTCCAGATCAAATTCCTACCCATAATTTTCTCACAATACAACAACAAAAGAGAGAGTGATCCTGGGAGGGGAAAGGGATATGCCATCCAAACAGCCCAGAGGGCACTGTCTGAGCTGGTGATTAGAGACACAAAAACAAGGGTCTCCAGACTGTCTGGCCCTTTTTGGGTAGGGGTTGGGAAAATGGTTTTCTGGCTGGGGAGAGCTGCCTAAAACCCTGGAATGAATACTTTTGTTTTTCCATACTAAAGTCTGCCTGCTGAAATGTCCTTCTGATTCTGAGGGACTGTGTATGCATTTGGGGCTTGGACAATGAAGCCTCTACTGTTACTATCTTCTCCCTGTTTTCCACACAGGGGATGCCCATGAAAGAAATCATTAGTCTCTAATGTGGGAGAGGAATCACTGCATGGCTCCACCAACTAACTCCAAGAAAAAATGTAGAGATTTAGGGCTGTGATGGAAGTTGACAGCCAGGGAAGCTTCCCTTCCAAGTATAGCTTTCATACTGGGGGAATGGGATATTTCACAAAGACTGGGCATCTGTCCCCTTAGGTATACTCTGCATGAATATGATGTACCCAAAAATACATATTTTACCAGGAACCTGTAATTCTTCCATTAAAGTGGTTGTTACTTATTTTTGAAAATCTGACACAAGTTAAAGATCCCCTTACCAGAAAAATATAGATGCTGCCAAATTTGGCAACACAAATAGATCGCACAATTCTTGAGATTTATTTATACCTCTCTGAAGGATCTATGGACCCCGCAAGAGAAGAACTCGCACTTGAGACATTCAGTATTTGGTTAAAGGATTACTTTCTGTTGAAAATAAAAGCACACTATAGAGAAAGGATATTGATTCCTTTGTTCCTTCATCTGTTCAACAAATACTTATTAAACTCCCCACTAACACACATTATAAATAAAAGTGATGTATTTTATTGCCTACTCTCAAGACTTTTTTTTCTCTCAAGACTTTTAACATCAACTTAAGAAGAAAAAGAATTGAGAGGATTCTACTCAAACTTCAACCAGAAAGCTTCACATTGATGTGGTTTATAGTTGCACTTTATTTTAAATGGTATCTTAGCTAGAAAAAAAAATGTGAAGACCTCTGTTTTAGCCCAAATTCTCACTCATTCAAATTCTTTTAAGGTTATTAGTCAACTTTTTCTAGGACATCCTGAATGACAGAAAAGTTAGAATTTTATAAAGTCTTTATAAAGTCTCCACTGTCTTTTTGGACATACAACTATTATAAATTCTTCCTTCTTTTAAAGCTGCATCTGCATTTCAGTCCCTTCTACCCATTGGTTCTGCAATCCTTCATTCACCCCAGAAAGTCCATGAGATACTTAAAAGAGACTATTGCATCCTCTGAGAACTTCCTTTTCCCAGCTAACCACGCCATATTATTTTAACCTTAATTTCTAACACTTTCCATATAATACCAAGACAACTTCCTTTTAAACACACTGCGTTAAGTTCCATATATATCTAGACCTAAAGTTACTATTCCAGTTACAGATTGATGACACCAGACTTCAAAGAAATAATCAGAGCAACCCAGTTTATCATTCTAGACCTCACTAACACTGTATAAAAGATATGAGCTTTTCCAGGCTTCACTGTTGATTTATTTATTTATTATTACTGTGTCTGGTAATCTACATTTCTCTTAGGTGCTTTCCTTTATATTTCAGAAGGAGCTGGAAGGGGATAGCATTGAATGCCACATTAAGAAGTCTGAACCCTATCTTACAGGAAATGGAAAATTGTTAACGGTTTTTGAGCTGAGGGGAGAAGGCGCAAGTAATGGGATGAAAGGTAGAGTAACAGATTGCAAGGGAGAAGTATGACTATAAGATAGTGCAGTGATTGGGGCACCAGGCACTAGGACAATGAGCTGAGAACATATATCAACAGCTAAGCCTTACTGAGAGCTTCCCATGTGCCAGGTGCTGTACAGAAGCTTTGTTCGCTTAACAACAGGGTTTGAAAAAGTTGGTAGAAAATTCAATTACAAGATAAGTTTAGTTTTGTACAAAATTTGTTGAAACTCAAACACATGAGGGTATTTCAAAAAGTTCATAAAAATGGGTAGTATTTTGGGATTGGTGTGATGAATCAACTGGCTAAATCTTTGCCTGCAAGCACTAGCATCTTATATGGAGCCAGTTCATATTCCAGCTGTTCCATTTCCTATCCAGCTCTCTGCTTGTGGCCTGGGAAGGCAGTGGAGGGTGGTCAAGGTCCTTAAAATCCTGGACTTATGTGGGAGACTCAGATTAGGCTCCTGGCTCCTGGCTTTGGGTCTGCCCAGCTCTGACTGTGGGTGGCCATTTGGGAAGAGAAACAGCAGTTTCTGTCTTTCCTCCTTCCTGTAAATGTTTTTCCAATTAAAACAAAACAAAAACTTTTAAAAAGTGTAATCCTAACCAAAAACTATGCATGTATTTAAAAATTTGTGTACCCATATAAGCTCAGCTTTTATTCTATTTTCCATGAACTTTTTGAAATATGCTTATGTATCTCATGCAACAATTACCATGGGGCTGGTGGAGTGGCTTTGCATGCGAGTCCTTGCCTGTGGTGCTGATGTCCCATATTGTGAGGCTCAGGGGCAAAGAGGTCACTGAGTCAATAAGATGGCGACTAATAGTCCAGGTCACTGGCGGGCAAGATGGCAGCCAAAGACAGTGCCCTGGGCGTGAACCAGGGCAGGAGTCATGTAGCTCCAAGGAAATACTGATTGACTAGGGCCATTTCACTCACCTACGCCGGCCTATGGGAGGTGGCTTCCGCAGTCATGCTCCTAGTAATTGGCTCCTAGTTTCTCCCTTCCTGGAATTCCTGAAATTCCTGGCCTGAAGCTATCCCTTACCCTATATAAGAAATTGAATTTCCCCATTAAATTGGAACTGCTTAGACAGAACCCCTGTCCATCTGTTTGTCTCTCAAAGGCCGGGAGGCTGGGTGGCGGGCAGCAGGCTCATCCCCTCCCGCAACGGGGTACTAAAGGAATATGTGGGGGAGACCCCGCATTGGCTCTGGTCCTGGCTGTTCTACTTCTAATCTAGCTCCCTACCGATGGCCTGGGAATACAGAGGACAGCTTCACTGTCCTCCCATGGGGGAGACCTGGAGAAGGCTCCTGGATTCTGGCCTCCGATGAGCTCAACTCTGGCCATTGCAATCATTTCAGCAGTGGGTCCACAGATGAATGATCTCTCGCTGTCTTTCCTCTGTCTGTAGCTCCTCCTTTCAAATTAAACAAATAAATAAATCTTTTAAAAAATCCTATAAGGTTGTTTATTCTTATCCTCCTTTTTCTGCAAGGTGTGTAGTACTTCTAAGTACATGGTGCTCTATGTGGAATGTAGAGCTATGTAAGTGGCCCCCCAAATTTATAAGAGTATACAACTAATTGAAGCAAAAGCTTCACAGATTCACCTAGGACCCATGTTTCCTGCAGAGGAATTTGCTCAGCTGCATCCTAATCACAGGTGAGTGTGGAGTACATTTTACTTTGGGTCACTAGAAGAAGTGGAGTTGAAGGCTAAGTAGATATTCTGTAGTTTTTGAACTAGGAATGAGAAACTGACTGATTAAAAAATATTGGGGCCCTTTCAATCATAATGTCATTGATTTTTATTCCAGTAAAGGGATTAGACAATAAATTCAATTGTTCCATTTTCAGTCCTAGAAACCTAGGCCCTAAAAAGTGAAGTGATTTCCTCGTTAGTTCCAGGAGCAAAGAAAAATATAAATCCATTTCCTTAAAATTAAGGTTCATTCCCAGATTTTGGTCAGGGGTAATAATAATTTCTTTAAAAAATGTACTAATTATTCTGTAAATGAAATTCAATTAAACTTGAGTGGTGTTGGGCAGACATCAGGTAAAATTCTTTATTCCATGCCCAGCGCAATAACCTGGTGGCTAAATCCTTGCCTTGCACATGCTGGGATTTCACGTGGGCGCCAGTTTGTGTCCTGGTTGCTCCATTTCCCATACAGCTCCCTGCTGTGACCTAGGAAAGCAGTGGAGGACAGACCAAAGCCTTGGAACTCCGCACCCATGTGGGAGACCCAGAAGAAGTTCCTATCTCCTAGCTTTGGATCAGCTTAGTTTTGGCTGTTGAGGTCACCTGGACAGTGAACCAACGGATGGAAGATCTTCCTTTCTGTCTCTCCTTCTCTCTGTAAATTTTTCTAAAAAATAAATGAATCTTTAAAAAAAATTATTTGTCTCACTAAACAGAATGTATCTCAAAATCAGGGTGGCATAGAGGAGGCATTTCCTAAGGAAACTTAGAACCCTCTTCCCTCTAATGGAATTCATGTCCTGGGACCCCCCCTCCACATTGAACAGTCAATTGTCCTTGGGTTTGCTGGGGGAGTTTCCATGGAGGCCCATGAAAAGGAGTGGAGGGGAAGACAAATTATTCACTTGTTTGAAAGGGAAAGGGCTACAAAGGGAAAGGCGGAGCAAGGTCAGCAGTAGGAGTAAGAGAAAGACAGGGGTGGCGGCCCTGCAAATAAGACAAGAAGCATTTAATACTAAATCCTACTTACAGCTTATATTTATAAGCTGTCAATTTTCAT